AGGCTGCGTCCCGTGCCAGCCCAGTTGGTGAGGAAGAAGCCCAGGGCGACGTCTGTCTCCGGGGGGTCCAGCACCTGCGACACCAGACTCACCGGCTTCGGGGTGATGGCGCGGCAGGTGGGCGTCTTCTTGCGAGACTTTTGACGCGTGTCGGTCGTCTGGACCTTGAACTTGAGCTTGACGGGCTTTGTATGATAGCCTCCGCATTCTCTGCCAATGCGGATGCATCGCTGGCAAGCAGGCTTGCCCTCGTCGCACTTGACTCGTCGCTGCTTGCAGGTATGGCAGCCCTTGGAGGGGCCGAGGTTGACCATGGTGGCTGCTTTGCTAGTGTTTGCGGGACGGCGGCGGGCTTGCTTGTTGGAGATGTACCATTGATTGTCTCGTGTTGTGTTGCCTTGTCTCGTCTTGGTGAAATGTCGCGGCCGACAGATGCAGTAGCGATTTTGCGACCACCAACACTTATACCAGTCAGCGACAGGACAGCCACGGGCATTTTTACATGGATACAAGATTGCCCCAGACGAGAGAGACCAGACCAGGCCCTACCGGGCTGATGAGCCGTTTCAGCCCAGGAGCCGGCGACTCGGCGTGTCCTGCAGGCCTGGGGCTCCGTGATGTGCGTGCTGTGCTGTGCTGTTGGCTGTTGGTCAGCCTAGCCTGTGAGAAACGGCCCCGTTGAATCGTGGGGCTCGGGAGGGGAGTCAAGAGTGCAAGTTTCGGAGGCAGGGTGGTAGTTTTGGACCGAGGCCGAAGCCCTGGTCCTGACTGGGCTGGAAAGGGGCGATTAGACGCGATCGATGGGTAGATCCAAGGAAGGGCGCTTGTTGAGTCTGATGCATCATGGAAAAGGCGGGCATGAAAAGGCGGAGTCTTGCTGCTGCTTGCTTGTGCTTGCTCCGCCACTCAGCCCTGCCTTCCCTGCCAGGTGCTCCTGCCCTGTTGTCCTGTGCTGCGCCGATGGAAATTGCTAAAGGAAATCGCCCATCCAATGCCCCTGCCTTGTGGGGAACTCGATGATGCCGCGATCGGACGTATACCTAAACTAAGCGACCCGTAACTGTAGATCCCAGGTAAGAATCAGAACATGGAGTGCCCCAGGATAAGCAGCTACACTCCTCCGATATGTATCGGCTGCGGCTACAGTTACGGTCGACGAATCCGAGCGCGAGTCTGCTTTACTACCGGTAGGGCTGGGCTGTCTGGCCACGCACCCTGGCCAGCCTTATACACCCCTGTCCACTGCCTAACCCGTACATTACACTAACTAATGCAACATACTCTATCCACCGCACCTACATACGGACCCTTTCCGCTTTTCTTGGCCGTCCGTTTGTCGTGACAAGATGGGAATTCGCACTCTACCCAATCCCAGTCTTGCCGTATCAAAAGTCCTTTCCTCGCATCTGGTGGAGCGGAACGGCCGTTTACTTGTAAAGGAGCAACCTCCGGCGCTAGCTTTACGTCAAAAGCATTGCCATCACTTCATGTTGTTTCTGTCGACTCAGGAATCCGCCCAGTTTCGTGTCTCCATGAATCGCTAACCCACAGTTGCAAGGGGGCGTGGTAAGAAACATTCCGAATAAACAGCAAATAGCCATTGATCCAATTCTGCCTGTCTTGGCCTGGCCAATAGGCAGGCCCTGACACGGACGCAACTGGTCCACGGCCCTGCCACATCTGCTCCAAAGTTGGTGATCGGGTACAACACCCTGACCTGACATCAGGATATACGCGGATATAGCCACCAGAGGCGGAATCATGGCTGAATCCATACATATCACCCCTGCCAGCTGCACTCCGGGACCTTTCAGAGTTTCCAGCGACCGGGTAAGGGGCTGAGATATGGTCAAACTTTCAACAGCATGGCTAGGATAACGCGACATAGGTGTGAATGAATTGTTTACTTGAATCTTGCTGAGCACAAATGACAACACCACGCAGAAATTAAGAACGCAAACTACCAAATGTTAATGTCAGCCTATAGTGTATCGAGCGGAAGACCGTGGTGCAGAAAAGACATGGAGTCTCATAGAATACACTCGAAACAACCACCAAAACCAAGACCCCCTCTCCACTCATTTTTGACAACACATGCCGCTCATCTATACATCCCGCCCCTCAGGGGTGCCGGCGTCAAACCCCCATGGGGCAAGATGGACGCCCAGTCTCTCTCACCTCCGGACCTGGGCGGTTCATCGGCTATGAGCCCGAAATGCAGCCTCCCCGAGAGACAGTTCCCCCGAGGCTCCGGGCACCCCTTGTCCGTCTGCACGAAAAAGGACTTTTGTCTACCAACAACAAAACATCAAATCCTATTCCTGTCTCGCGTGGCCAATGCTGCCCTATCAGTAGGATTCCCATCGTGATATTAAGGAGTCCCTGTCAGCCCACGAGGCGGCATTGTAGAGTGCTGACATATGACAGACCGGTAGTCAGTTTCTCTTTCTGCAACTCTCCGTCGGAGATTTAGACTATATAGGAAGAGTCTGGAAGGTTGGAGTAGGTGTTTCACGGCAAAGGATTCATGGCCACGGCGTGAAGCCCATATATAGCCTCTAAGCCTCGCCGGCTGACGTGAGTGAGACTGCATGTCGTCATCGGCGAGATTTGTGATGATTGAATACTTCAAAGAACTTTGCAAAAGGATATCATCACCGACATTTATGGCTTCGCAAACCAGTTACCTCAAAGAGTTGGCCGATGTGATAGCCCGAGTTGAGGCTGTGAATAGCATCAAGAATAGTATCACATCTCAATGTTGGAGAATTGCAGAGACCTATATTCGCTTGTTTGATATATGAGTTATATTCGAAGACAGGCAACCTTATAGCATATTAACTTTCAACATGACCGTTGACTGCATGCTCGGGAGGCTCTTGTGCAACCTGACAGAAAATAGACTCGAGAACGTTAGCAAACTCTGAATCTATGCTTACCTTTTCTATGTGCAGACTCGATACGAACAGCTCACCCTCCCCGTCTCTCAACAGCCCATGATCATCTTCCTATCAAGCCAAGCCGGCACTCGGATCCTGCCAAATTCAAAGGGGATCAAGACATCGAGCGTCTAAACGACCAAAAGGGGCATAGCAGGTGCAGGATCGCCAACACGGTCTGGCATGGGCCCCTGACCCTGCCAAATACTGGACCCAGTTTAGGTGGTAACCCGCCTGGCCCGAGTGAGGAGGCAGGGAGGCAAGGCCCCCTGTCGTACAAACGGCCCACTGGGTCGATCGAGGGGTTTCGTGTGATTGCGAGGTGATCGGGAAGTCGTCCACGTCGGCTTCGATTTTTTCCAACTTGGGAGTGATGTGATGAAGATCCTGCGGAGGATCCGTGAAGGAAGGACTTTTGTATAGGAGATGGGTAGTCAAGATGAAGTACTCGGAGTGACATTACCTCGGTTATCACGGTATCGTTTCGCCACCTATACTAGCCGCAAGACGTCCGTTTGACAAAGATGAAACCTTCAATCTTCCTCACATCTTTTTGTCTTATGAGATCTACCATGTCAGCAGCAGCAGCTCCTGAATCACCTTGTGGCACTGAGATGCTCGACCAGGAGCACGCAAAGCAAATCACCGAGAACTTCTTCGGCGTCTGGCACGGTGACTACTCACTCGCCGACAAGACATTTGATCCCAATGTTTTCCTCGTTTCCGATCGCATGCCTACCGGAAAAGGCAGTGAGCCGTTAAGGATCGAGGGCAAAAATGCAATGGTGGCCTTTGTGAAGCGGTGCAGAGAAGGCTGGAAGGAGTACAAAGTTGAGCTGCTCCAGTTCATCAGCGACCAGAACAAGATTTCCATTCAATGAAAGATGAATGGCACAACTGGTGAAAATATGAGGATCAAGACGTAAGAGCCTTGGCAATTGCTGCCTTATGTTGATCTTTCGCTGACCAACTGTCATTTGTAGGCCTCTGAAGCCAAACTCCAAGGTCAGCTTCAAGGGAATCGATTTCATCATTCTTGACGAATGCTCAGGGCTGATTAAAGAGATCAACATAGCACAAGACCTCATCACTTTCTTTCATGAACTCGAACTTGGCCATGTTTCGGTTTAGGACGGCCCTCTATTAGAGCTTCTTGAAGCAAGGGATAGGTATTTGTTTCTAATTTTTTCTTCTCAATTCACATCCATACAGGTTTCAATACTACCTTCTTCTGTGTGCCGTAATTGCTTACCGTTGATTTCCTTTGTCGATTTGTGAGCTGTAGACAAACCTTCAGTTTCCAAGGGGCCGGGTACCGCATCCGTGAGCAATCAAGATTCTGTCTTTTTGGTCGGCGGATTTTAATCTGTACAAGGTCGCACCTAGTGGTAAAGAGATTGAACCCATGGCAATCCAAGAGTAAGTAAGCATGCTATACCCCTTGGCTGAGCCTGCTAACCTGCCTGTTTAGTAGGCTTGTCAGATCTTTAATCAATCTCTAAGTGGAGTATGATCGACGACACCCTCACCATGAGCTTGGGCCCACCAATGACAGGTTTAGGGCCCGGATCGGCCCGTGAAAGTCAATCCCGATCGGGTAGGCTTTGAGGTGTAGATGAATACTGATAGATGTTTTCTTCTAGGCTTCGAATCTTTCGTTTTATGAGCTTCCAAGACCATCAAGGGCCACTGATGAGCTGCCCTGCCAAGATTTCTGTCCTCGCTAACCCTTGTCTCCGGAAGTGCTCCAACCAGGCGGTGGGCCATGTGAAAGTCTGCTGTTTTGCCTGAATCTCATTCCATCGAAGCGAGTTGTAACATTAACAGAACTCAACATGCCAATTGATATACCGGATTAGCGATAGGCAACATGTATCTCATCTCAGGTTATTATACAAGAATATATCGAAGGCCTGCCTGAGGAACATGACCTGATAAGGAAATGTGGGTCCGCCAGGAACCAGAAAAAGTCGCAGCTGAAAATCCAGGGTCCATCCCCAACACCAAAATTGGAGCCTCAACGTCTTTTCATCAACCGTCAAACCAACATCACCACCCGCCATGGCCGACCCAATTGAGCACCACGATATCCTAGTTCTGGGCGCCGGCCTCTCGGGCATCAACACCGGTCGCGTCCTCCGCCAGCAGCTTCCCCACCGCTCCTTCACCATCCTCGAGGCTCAGGAGGCCGTCGGCGGCACATGGCGCTTCTTCCGCTACCCCGGGTTCCGATCCGACTCGTTCATGACCTCGTTCGGATTCTCATGGCATCAATGGAAGCACAGGCACAAGATGGCTCAGGCCGGAGAGATTGTTGAATATCTGGAGGAGGCTGTCGATGCTGCTGGCCTGAGGGACAAGATTCGCTTCCGTCACAAGATGGTGGGGTGTGAGTGGAGGACAGATGAGCAACAGTGGAGGGTCGAGGTTGATGTTGAGGGCGAGCGCAAGGTGTTTTCTGCCAACTTTGTCATCAGCTGCGTGGGATACTACTCGTATGACAAGGCAATGGAGGCTACGATCCCTGGCATCGAGGACTTTGGTGGACAGGTTGTACACCCCCAATGGTGGCCTGAGGATCTCGACTATTCCAACAAGCGTGTTGTAGTTATTGGATCAGGGGCAACCGCCATCACAATTGTCCCTTCGCTCGCTGAGAAGGCGAGCATGGTCACCATGCTCCAGCGCAGTCCATCCTTTGTCGTATCCCGGACCACCACCTCAGGCGCCGACAACTTCCTGAGACGCTATTTCCCTTCAGTGCTGGCGTACTGGTTCATCTACTGGAAAGATGTGGTTTGGGAGCTCTTCATCACCCAGGTGATGCTCAACTTCCCAGACAAGGCGCGAAAGGTCGTCATGGACTCGATGAGGGAGGCTCTGCCCAAGAGTGTCGACGTTGACGTCCACTTCAATCCCAGCTACAATCCGTTTCAGCAACGACTCTGCATGTGTCCGGAGGGAGACTTCTTCAAGGCCTTCCACAGGGACAACTGCCAGGTCGTGACTGATGTGATCGAGACGGTGACTAAGGATGGCATTCTGCTCAAGTCTGGTCAGAAGCTGGAAGCCGACATCATCATCACTGCGACAGGACTTTACTTTCAGCTTTTTAGCGGCGTGAAGCCCCTGGTGGACGGTCAACCCATCAACCCTGGGTCACAGTACGCGTGGCGGGGCTGCATGATCGAGTCTCTCCCCAACATGGCGTTCGTGATGGGCTACGTGACAACATCCTGGACTCCCGGTGCAGACCTGATGACTAAAATCGTGACTCGTGTCATCAAGCAGATGGAGAAGACGGGCTCGACGAGCGTGATGCCCGTGATGGAGGACCGAGAGGGCAAGCCGAAGAACCTGCTCGTCAGCGCGACGAGCAACTACTTCACCAAGGCGGCGGACAGGATGCCCAAGGTGACGGGCGAGGCGCCATGGTACGGGCGAGTGAACTTGGGCATTGACTGGTTGGCATGGATGTTTGGTAACGTCACCACGGGGCTGCTTTATGGCAGTGCTCAGGGTAAGAAGGATTCATAGCGGTGTTTGACGATAGAGAAGCATAGAGCATGCTACGGCTGATAATGAATGGGTTATGACTGGATTAGATTATAAGCAAACAGGAATTATATTGTTTTGGCCTTTCATCCCAACTTTAGTGCTAGTGTGCTACCATGACTACACGACTGGATGAAAGAGGGAACGACAATTCACCATAGCAAACAATTTATTCCCTTAATCCAATGTCAATTTCCAAAGGCACAAAAACAAGGCTCCAGCCAAAGTGAAGCGCCACTAGTTGATCAGGCTGGAGGTTCCGTCAGCCGCCTCCTGCTTGTCTGAAAGGGTGGGAGGATATGCATTAGCCAGAGTCCAGACTGCGCCATTCACCACTTGGTATTTTGTGGCCAGCTTTGAAGAAACTGACCGAAGAATCTCTTTTCTCTTTAGAATAAGACAGGTCTTCTGGAATGCTCAAGTGTTCATCTGATCCAACGACTCCATTTAGCCTAGGCACGCGGGGAAATCTCCGAATGCAAAGAGAATAAACTTGGATCCCCACTACCGAACACCCGGTCCATTTAACTCATCTCTTTTCTCTTCAGCAAAAGCTCATGACCCGCCCGGGGACGGCTGGTCAAGCCCCCCGGTCTGTTGGTCTTGTCTGTCGTCACATTGAACCCCCACTCATCACAGGCATGTGCTTTCTCTCTCTCGACAAAACTCAATTCTGTTTCTGCAAGATGGGACAAGCTTTGGCTTTGATGTTTCTGGGCGTTTGACCATGGGGCTGCTGGCGGATCTTTCGTTGACGAGACTTTGTCTCGTGGCCGTCTCAGTGGTGATTGCTGGTCTTGGTACTCGTCAGTTTCGACGATGGCATCGTCTGCGCCATATCCCTGGTCCGAGGGGCGCAGGTTGGTCAACATGGTGGCAACTTAGGGGAGCTCTCAGCGGTCACTACCATGAGCATCTCAAACAGGCCGCTGACCAGTTCGGTATGCATCTCGTTCCCACTGATAATACATCATCCTGACTATCTCAGGCCCTCTTGTTCGCATTGGCCCCAATGAGCTGCTTTCAACAGATCCCGACGTGCTTCGCAATATGTCAGCGGTGCGCAGCACCTATACCAAGGGCGACTTTTATATGAGCGGCAGGATAGTCCCAGAGGTTGACAATGTTGTCTCTGAGAGGAACGAAGTCAAGCACAAAGCTATGAAGGCCAAGATGACACCAGGAGTATGTCACCAACACCATATTGTGAATAATCCTAACGACCTCTAGTACTCTGGAAAGGAGAATGAGGGCTTTGGCTTTGAGGCAGGCCTTGATCGCCAACTCCTCAACTTCATAGCCCTCATCGATCGCAAGTACGCATCAGCGCCTGATGAAACTCGGCCTGTCGACTTGGCCGAAAAGACACAGTTCTTTGCCCTTGATGCTATCGGTGACGTCTCGTTCGGAGAGCCATTTGGATATCTCACCCAAGATGAGGACCTGTACCATTACAACGAGATCAACGCCAGTTCACTGTCAGCTATGGACGTGGTCTCTGTGTATCCCTGGCTGACAAAGATTGTTCATCGATGGCCCCTGAAGCTGTTACTCCCGCGGGAAGGGGACCAGGTAGGCTTTGGACGCTTGATGGGGTAAGTTGCAAATACAATCGAGTCTTTAATTTGCTCTAACGGGTGTCTTCAAGATTTGCTACACAGTTTGTCCGGGGACGGCTGGCTGAAGGTGCTACGCCGGACAAGGACATGATGCAAGCTCACATCAACAATGGCATGAATGAGGAGGAGCTAATCCAGCAAGTCTTTATATCCATGTACGTGCGCAACCATATTGTCAACTTCAAGGGAAACTCATACATATAGCATCGCCGGTTCCAACTCGTCCGCTCATGCTCTGCGCATGATCATCCTCTCAATCATCACCAACCCACCTGCCCACGCCTCACTCCTCGCCGAAATCCGCCAACACGTCTCCTCAGTGAACACGCCCATCTCCTGGGCTCAGATTCAGACACTACCATATCTACAAGCCGTCGTGCGCGAAGGTCTCCGCATGTGGCCTCCGCTCGCTGGTTTGGGCTTCAAGCAAGTACCTCCTGAAGGCGATACCATCAACGGCTTCTTTGTTCCAGGCGGCACGCAGGTTGGACAGGGCTTTCACGCTGTAGGACGGTCTCGACTTGTATGGGGGGATGATGCCGACATGTTTCGCCCTGAACGATGGCTGCTTGCCGATGAGAGCGAGTTAAAGAGGATGATAGCGGCCTGGGACACGCATTTTGGCCACGGCAAGTACGTGTGTCTTGGAAAGCCGATTGCTTTGATGGAGATCCATAAGGCTGTTTTTGAGGTATGAGATACATCTGCTATTAGGTGAAAGGCGTGCTGACCTGCCACAGTTGATCAAGCGATACGATTTTGCTATTATGAACCCTGAAAAGCCCATCAGTATTCAGGCTTCAGTTTTCCTCTTTGCGTCCGACTTTTGGGTCAGGATCACTCGAAGAAATGATCCAGACATTGAGGGAACGAAGTGATAGCGATGCCTCTCTCTGTACATAGTTGTTCAAAATTGTCACCATTGAATCGTAATAGGGTCTTTGGGAATAAAAGTGCAATGGGTATTATTTGCCTCGAGGCAATTGCGTTTATGATGGGTAGACCTCCTGGAAGGCAATGAAGTGATATCGCCGTAAACCAGCCACCGCAGGTAGTACCAATTAAGCCTTGCGGCGTGTCTCCTAGGTGTTGGAACTCCGAGGTTGACAACTGGGATCTGAATAACAACCCGAACCCCTTTGAGCATGGCCATGAGGCTTGCGGTTCGGGTAGGATGCCTCTGAACAGGTTCCCTCTCAGGAGGCCCCCTTTTCTCAACAGTGAACTGAGAATAGGCCAGAAACTGTGAAGGCCGAAAAGGCCTTGGATCTCCGAGCTGGTTCTCCGCCATTTGCCTTGTATTCTCTTCCCAGTCTTTGTCCTTCCAAGTCACCGTTGTCGCAAGTGTTCGCTCGCTTGATCAAATGCTCAGCACTAGGCTTTGCTACCAAGCAGCTCACAAGGAACGTGCTCTCAAGCTGAGGAAGTGAAGCAAAATTCATCCTCAGGGCTGTCAACCCTCCTCCTCTTCGGGCTTCCGTGATGGTGTCCCCAGAGTTTCCAGGCCCCTCGCTCCCGCCAACTCTGCTGGTGCATTCGCCGGGGCATCGGCCACCTTTCCTTGTCCCATCGCCTCCTGGTATTTCCGACCTGTATCATCCAGCAAGGCTTGGACTTCTCCTTCTCTTTTCACAATCTCTTCTCTTTCTCTCTTGAGTTTTTCCACTCGTGCCTGTTTGCCCTTCATCTCCTCTTCCATGCCCTTCAGTGTTGTCTGCAAACGAGCAAGACATTCTGTTAGGCTGGGAAGAGGTGCAATCTTGGGTGGTACTTGGAGGATCTCCTGGCCAGGGTCCTTCCGGGGCTTCTTTAGACCGTCCATTCCTGCACGTGTCTGAGCAGCTTCATATGCGATTCGACGTTCTGCATCGCTATCAGACGATGAGTCTGAAGTATGTCCTTCGGCTGCGTTGATGAGCTCGGCCATCTTCTGTCGGTCATGTTTGCGCCTCTCTTTCTCAGCTCGCTTGCCCAAAGACAGACCCCCATCTTCGACATAGTTATCGAAACCCTCGCCTAGGTCTTCGTCCTCTGCTATCAAGCGAGTGTCGTCCTTCTTCTTTTTGCCAAACGGACCCTCGTCATCTTCAACAGATAAAAAGTCCTTTTCCTTTGCCAAACGTGCTCGTCGTTCTTTCTTCTCTCGGATCTCAGCCTCGGATAGGATCGTAGTCGCTTGGGGTTGGTTAAAGTCTGAAGATTCAACTATGACAGCGCCCTCGAGCTCGGAGGCATCAAGATCCATCATGTCAGTGTCGTCGGGTGGTAGCGTAGAGACGTTCTGGGGCGTGTTCGGCGTGGATGACTGTAGTTCTTCGAGATATTCCTTGCTGTACCTTGGCCGATCGTCCTCATCCCCGAGTGTCCGCATAGGTAGTCCCTTTGTGCCTAGACCCCTCTTGATGGCACTATTCTCAAGTGCGCGTCCCAAGGGTCCCTTCTTAGGCGTGAACACCTCGGTGGCGTCCTCGTCGCCCGCAACTCCATCGTCTCCGCCGAATGATAGTCGTGAAGCTTTCTTTGGCTTCTTTTTCTGCTTTAGCGAACCTGAGCGGCTGATGGCTGGTCGGACCACTACCGGGCCATCATCCTCGTCATTGTTGTCGTCTCGAAGGTTCTCGGCGTCGGCAGGATTGAAGCTCTTTCTCAACCCCGATTGTCTGAATGGTTTTCGGCCGGCTTTTGCGCCAAATAAGGGCTTGGAAGGTTCTGTAGTCGCAAGGGTCAGCCTTGGTTCTCATCAGCAACAGTCGCGCATTGAAAGCAGCTTGGTACTCACCATCGCTGGAGCCAGTGTCGCCGCTCGGAGCCGACACGCTCTCAGCCGTGTCTTCCTCGTCGGCGACCTTGATGACCTTGGCCTTGCGTTTTCCGGCAAAGGAACTCATGATTGCGACCGTTTGGCGCAAGTTGATTTTTGAAGTTTTGTAGGTTTGCGACGCGCTTTGAGGCGGGCCAGAAGTAGAGTGACGTGCATTTTAGAATCTTATCAGCTGGGCACGTGACTCAGCTTTTCCCGCCAACTGCGAAATGGAGGAGCTCTCCCAGCCGCGATCGCGTCGCATCTAGACCAGCATCAATAAGTTAAAATCAACCTTGACTGCTCAAGATGGCGCCCGCACAGCCCGAGCTGAAGAAGGTGCGTTTTATAAGTTCTGCGCTGCTGTATAGCATCAAGCTGCTCTTGGGCGCTTGCCTGCTGCTTCAGCTGCCTTGCGACCTGATCTTGGCTAACTTTTTCGTGCAGTACCTCGACAAGCGACTGTTTGTGCAGTTGAACGGCAGCCGTAAGGTCATCGGTGTCCTCCGTGGCTACGATGTAAGCGCATCTGCGACAAGTTCGAAAGCTCTTGGCTAATTGGAATAGGTCTTCCTGAACATTGTCATGGACGAGGCGGTGGAAGAGAAGGACGGTGGAGAGAAGGTCAGACTCGGCATGGTTGTATGTTTCCCCTCCATTCTTTCATTCTACTGGCCATTGATACTAATCAATGCGATAGGTCATCCGTGGTAACTCAGTCGTGATGCTCGAGGCACTGGAACGAATCGGCGGCGACGACCGACAAAACAGATAATCGTCACGCACGCACGATGGAGACATGTGGAGGGAAAGACACCATGGGAAATCATTGTCATGCTTATTTTTGGCGTTTTGAGGTCGAAAAATGAAGATCAAAGTCCCCATCTTGGATGATTTCTTTTGGGGAAGTCAGGTCACGTCTTGCTAGACATCAAGAGAAAGGACTTGACATCTGCGGCCGGATCCTATTTGGTCCAGACCTCTTCGTCGTAATAGTCCATGAGCTTGCCGCCGTACGTCTTTTGCCAGCCCTTGATGCCTCCGATCAGGATCTCGGCTTTGATGTCGGTCTCGCCAACTTCGTCGAGGTAGTCCTGCATCCACCCAGCACAGCGTGGGCCTCTGCTACCGCAGCTCCCTTCAAGTCGTCAGTGGTGGATTGATTCAGCTCGCTAGATAGAGACTACTCACCACAATAGAAGATGATTCTTCGAATGCCCGCCTGCTTGCAAAGCCGATAGATGACGGGTCGTGTCTGGTAGAATGTATGGGCGGGGAAATTGATGGATGTAGCAACAGTGCCGCCCTCCCAGTCAGTCCTCCTGACATCAACTAGCAAAAAGTCTCTCGTAGCCCCCTTCCCAGCAGCTGCGTTCTTCTCAATGAGACCTGCAACTTCGGCAGCTTCAATTCGAGGGCACGAAGCCTTTGCCTCGGGAAAAGCTTCCCACCACTGCGGGGTGGTCTGCGGGGCATCCGAAGCCATTCTGAAGAGCCTTGGTGGTGCTACACGAAAAGAATTGCGGATTGGCGTCTGACAAGATGTTAGTGCTCGAGAGATTAAGCCAGGAAGGAAGAAGAGTTTTGACATTGGATGAGCCCTCGATGTGTTGAGGGAGAATTGATGATGGAGTAGAGCCTCGGAAGTTGGGCCCGATTCTGCGAGTGTCTAATAAGCCCGTCGCTGGCCGAACTGCCACTTCTCCGCGGATGCTTCACTTGAAGCATGGATTAAACAGCGTTCATTACAAAACATGAATGCAAAGATATCGTCAAGACTTGTTGGACTGCCCGATGGCCTGGTGGGGGGTATATCTTGTTTGGCACCCAGAAAGTGGACGCGCTGGCTTCGGTTGGCTTTGCTCGTGAATTGCAATTGCGCCCAGGAAGATACTTCAAGCTTGATTCGAGTTTATTCTACTCTGTAAATGCTGTTGCATGGCCCCTGGAAGCCGCTGCTGTGTGGTAGCTTCGTAACCAGGCTACGCCTTAAGAATCCTCAATCTCTCGACAAGTGACGCAGCAGAAGTTGACCGACTTACAGCGTTTTTGAGACGATTCGCGAGCCGCCAGGGTGCCTACAAAGTACCCCTTTGCTATTGCGCTGATGGTATGGTGACAATTCGGTAGTGAGAAAGAAAGTTTGATTGGTCAAGCGTGGCACTCATCAAAACAGCGCCACGGTCTCAGGTTGAGAGCATTCGTGAACTCTCTGCTAACTATATCAAGCCCATACCAGAACCGACTTTGGTGTTAAGAGAATCTATGAGCATCACATCAACTGGCAAATGCCTCAGCGGCGGTCACGATGGGGGCATTTGCTTATTAGATCTATTCCTCAGTGAGATACTCTAGCCAACGCCAGGTTTCGCATTAAAAATAAAGTACTGAGAGCATAAGGCTATAACAAACTCAGTCACACCAACACATTATCTTTGCAAGAGCAGTAATAGTGACGCAAGGTGTAAAACGGAGGTACAGTATTTGCCAGCTGATGGGATCATAAGACCAAAGATCTGCCATGGTATCTGTTAAGGAAATACTATTAGGACTGGTGGGGTGGGTGTTTCATCCCGGTACATCCATTTTGCCTACGTACCATAGTTGTTGTGTCATTGAATCTTGGGTATAGGCTTCAGTTGGTGTTACGGTTGTGTGATTTGCGTTGGGTCGTCCAGAAGTCCATACCGTATTAAACGCGAGCGCGCGGGGTGACCTAAAAGTCCACTGTCGTGACAGTTCCGTTGCGAAAAGATCAGGGCGCCAGGCTTACCTTCCTGTTTGTTCTCTCCCCCTGAAAGAGCCGCATTTGTTTAGGTCGGTACCCTTGTCCCTAACCCTGGCAAAGGATGATTAGGCCAGTTCAAGGACAGGAGTGGTTCGATGAGACGATTTCACGTACAATCGCATCGTAAAAGAATATAGCATAATGCCTGGTCATCAAAGCTTGGTCCTTCCATTTTTATTTGGTGACTTCAAAATTAGAAAGAAAAAATAACCCCAATGAGGTTAAAAACACCGTTATGGACCTTGGAGAAAAGAGATCTCCTTTTGCTCTGTGGTGTTGAGTTAAGTCGGGGGTTCGCAACCCCTCCTGTTTCGTGATCCCCCCCCGGTCTTTGGAGCAAAGATACAATACAACCCCTGTAAGTTTGTTGGTGTAGTCCAAGGGAGTGGCCCCTGGCAAAATCCATCAACATCTCAGCATTTAGAGAAGAAAACGAGAAAATCATAAATAGGACAAATAGAAAATACCTTGTGCGAGCTTACTATATATTTTTTGATAGATTTATTGTGTTTTAGTTGAGACTCTATGATAATATGAATTTTAGTGGTGCTAATCTGAGAGGTACCACACCAACAAACTTTCAGGGGCTGTATTGTAAGGCGCAAAGAAAACATCACAGTTCAACAGCCAACCGAATTAATCCACTGGCCAGGAGGCCACGAAGCAAGGGGGGTTGCAAGAGTGCAATACCCTTGCTAGCCTCTTTCTGTAACATCCGATTGGCCACTCCCTCCGTGCTGCATCTGCAGTGCCCTCCCTCGTTTTGTGATTTGGCTACAGAAATATTCTCACCATCTTCATGTGATGAGCGCATCTTCAGTTTGGCATGTATTACTACATCTCAAGAAGAAGCTCCGGAACCCGTGGAGCTCAAGGGAGCACATGGCTTGCTGTCTATACCATAGCAGACGCACCGACTCGTTTCGTTTGTGAAACGGGAGAAGTTATCAAACGACTCTCCAGAGATATCGACATACGCCATTTCCTGAGCGTCGGAAGAGGGTTGCTTTTTCGTCAGCAACAATTTAAAAAGGATTAGCCTGTTGGTCAGCACAGCCTCACATTTCGTTTCACTACTTCTGTCTACTGTGAGTTGGATGTCATGCTGGTCAGGTAGATGTTTGCGTTCTCGACTCACCAAGTCTACAAAGCCTAGCGGGTCCTAAAACGGTTGACTGCATGGATCTTGTTGGATGGATTCCGAGTGAACCACGGTGGGTCCTGCAGTATCCCGTTCTGATGGATTTTATCAGTCGATACCTACTTCATACCTAAAGTACCTACAGTAAGCAGCAAGGGCACACCAGGAATTCTACCCTTGTATTTTATTTCATCAAATACCCCTGTATCTTCTGGGAGAATGAAGCTAACTAACTTGGTGGCGCTCGCCGGGAATGTAAGGGGCTTGTCTAGAGACCGGGGCAGGCCCGAACACGACTTCTCGTCGGTATGTACGGCATTATCATGATGAATGTGGTGGAGTAACTGCCTCAGCGAAAAAGGCATTGCACCTTGGCGCATATTGTTTCCTTCTATAGAACTTTGGTGGCACTGAGTCTTTCTTCTCTGCTTGCTATGTTACCTACATACCTTCGTTGAGACGGCATGTCGTGGGGTTCAGGTTCACCGGGCCACTCGGGCTTGACGATGAGTACCTCACAATTATAATAGCTCGCACATGATTTCTGAAGGCCCCCATGGGCGGGTGTACATAAGCTAATGCGTGTTAAGGGTATAATTAAAATAGCGGAACGCCATGGGTGACGAAGATATTGCAAGGTATTGCGGTGTGGTTCAACGGACGCAATTGGTAACCTAGAACAACATATTTGTTCCCAGGTAGTTGATGATGGAAATATACCACTTCGCCTGCTTTATATACTCAGCGTTTCAATAGATGTCACTCTGCTTGTTGGTCGATTCTACTATACAGATACTGAGTGAACAAGAAGACCTTCAGAAGTTCTGGGTGAGCACCAGCCACGGTGGCCTTCACCGCCAGCCAACAACCCAGGGTGCATGACGGGGAGGCTTCCCTTTTTTGCCTCACCGCTGAGAATAAAGTCCCCGGCTAGCCCCCTTGGACGCAGTAGTCAACCCATTGTTTACCGACCAAGACGCGGAAGGGGTTCCCATGCATCATCGGACCGTACCATGTCGTTGACTTAGCAGACGAGATCGACGCCGACCTATCAATTTATTGCGTGGACTTGCATTTCGGTGAGTACTAGCAAATGTCACCCAAGAGCTAGAGTCAAGTTACTAGGTTCCTCTCGTGACAAAGTTTTGTACCACAATGGGCTTTTCCCGACTCATCAGTGTTGCGTTGATAATTAGCTTAATACGCAGTGGTGGTTGCTTGAAGAGAAGTATGGAGAGCCATAGTTCGTTGTCTCGACCTGTGGAACGCACCGGCTCCTGACCTCCAAATCCACATAACACCTCTCAGGTTCCACTTCTTACATGCTCCTTTCACCAGCCCTCCCCGATAATCTTCGGCTCCCGAGGCTCTCGATAGTCTATTCTGGTCTCTTGACGGCCACAAGACACCGGTCAGCTCCAACACTGAACATCTTCTCCGTAAAGACACGTTGGGGGGCGAATGATAGTCCAGGACGGTACCGGAATGCCAATGGCTCTGCCGCCTCACATACCGTCGTGCAACAGCCTCGTCCATCATCGATGCTCAATAAGACTCTGGCCAAACAGCGAACACATTCCATCTGCATGTGGGCAGATCTGCCCCACACTCGGATCCTGCCTCCTGCAAATAGTTTAAAACCTATCTAGGCCTAACCGGGTCGCCATTTCATTTCTCTTGCTATTCTTATTGGATCAAGCTGTCTTGATAACATAGAATTCTGATAAATTAGCGAGGCAGTACATTCGTAGGTTTATACTTATTGCCGGTCACTGTACATCGTCGCCCAGATGGCAGTTGCCATGCAGAAAGACAGGGGGGTAGCCATATTAGCGCTTGTGGCCTGTTAAAAAAGATAAGTAGTAGGGCTTGCATTCGAATTCTTCCACAAGAATTTCTTCGTTGAAAGACCAATGGACATATTACTTTTAAAGTCCTTAACGTTTACAGATGTCCAGTGTTCAGGATAGCTCTCTTTCAGACGATACGTCGCACAGGTAAGAGTGACAGCTGGGCGTGACGATGTGCATAATCTGACCGCCTAGTAGAGAATTCCTCTGCAGTCGCCTTGGGTTTCTAGGGCGTCCGGCGAATCTCAGGTTCCAGGTTTTGGACTGGTGGCCTTCCGCCAGGCTAGGATTGAGGCCCGCAAACTGCCTCACAGAAATCCAAGGTATGCCTTTTCTTCCCAAGCCCAACTGCCCATTCATTGCCCGTATAGTTGACGAGGACTGCCCCGCGCTCAGCTGCGCCTCTCTGGCACCTTCAAGCGCCAATTGTCGAGTTACCACCACCACGGCGAAGAGTCGTGTGGGTGTGGATTTGCGTAAGTTGGGCCAAACAGGTGGAAAATTCCAAGAGACTAGCTGCCTTCCAGTCATCTACAGATTCAAGCTGACCACTGCTAGTGTTACTGCGGCCATGGCGGAATGAAAGTCAGCGTCGATCCTTGTCCGAGATGTGGCGTCCCACGTTGCCCGAATTGTGAAACGCAGAGGGTTAACGCCCGTCACGCATACGTTGCAAGGTTCAGCATTGAGGGGGAGCATGAGGTCGAATGGCATAGCCATGAGCAAGAAGACAACCAAGGGACGTCTCTTACACGGTTGATGACGGTTGACCTACCATTCCGGCTAGAGGATACAAATAGTACCAGTCTAACTATGACGCTCAGCAACTCAGAGTACGACGACATGAGGGTACGTGGCCCCCGTTGCCCGACGATTCCAATATCAAATCGCTAATACAGTTTCTGGTAGTGTAGATTAGTTGGAGAAACAGACGATGTGCTTGGCGGATGATGGTGAATACACAACGGTTCAAAGCTACTACCCAATGGGTGACAACTATGGATCTAGTTAATAGAATCGACCAAATAGATCGAAACAACATGATCGGGCAAGTGAGGAAAATAGGTTCACAAAAGTGTGAGGGTATCTTATTCGTCAAAGCACTCAGGGAAACGGTAGGGGGATGGCTTCCGTGCAAGCCAACGAAAATAATATACCTACCTATGACACAAGTGAAGATTGTGCCCAAGCTTCAAAAATACAATGACTATCCAGTAAGATTTATAACTGTGAGAAGATGACGCCGTGATAGCCTGAACAAAGTTTCTTCTGAGACGAATAGAAAGAGTAAATGGAATTGGGCCCACGGAGTGATGCCTAATCCAAGTTCGCCCCACTAGGGACGTACTTTGTCGCGAATTGAGGAATTCTATGAAGGTACTCGATTCATTTTCGAAGAATCCATTACTAGTCAAGTCGACGGTTCCCCATCGAGGGGCGCCTAGAACCCGGAAGCCTGGGTATTTGACCGCAATTGGGATGTTAATGGCCTAGCTCCTCATCCTACTTACGAGTCAACGCTGGGTACATATGGGCTCTACGAAGTTACGGAAGAAAGGGTTGGGATCCATACTGGAGAATGCAGCTATATTGGGACTTTGCAAACAGAGAGTGATCAACAGATGAAGTGCCATGAATCATTGGACGGGGGAAGGCAATCTAAATATATGGAATATGAAATGTTACAACAACAACGCCCCGAACATCCCGCTGCCGTAACTGAGGAAGACCAATAACAATAAGTGAGTGACTCGGTCAAGAGTGCAATAATGTCATACAAGCAAAACTAAAAGGGAAGGGTAAACCATCAAGGACTATATGGAGAGACGCCCAGCACTCTGAAGGCATTCTCAAATACCTGCCTGGCATTCTCATACAAGGCCATCCTCGCCTTGTTCATTTCATCCTTGTCCGTCCAATCCTGCTCATCGTCGTCGTCGAGCGTCATCATGACTTGGTCAACAAGTCGTAGCAGGTAGATGATGATGAGAGACGGCTCAAGAGTCTTGAAAGACGCCTGCGCTGTATCAGGATACTGTGCCATAATGCGTAGCAGCTCAGCGTAGTCCTCTGCCTCTAGAGAAGCATAGTCCAGTGTGGCATAGTCGACCTCGGCCGGCGCTTCACTCAACTTTGAGGTCAACCTGGCATAACAGTTCTGGATCGCTGCGCCGGACTCGCTAACGAGTGATGCCATCTTCTTAGAGTCCACAGCGTATGGCGTCGCCCGCTTGTGAGTGAAATCCTGGATGAAAAGGCTGGATAGTCCAAGAAGATCCACCGACTTGTCAGTCTTGTCCACAAAAAGGGGTTCCTCCGTCTCTTCTTCAACGCTGGTCTGCATCACAGTATGACAGCAATCCAGGTAGTCGCTCAGCAACTTGGCATCCTTGAACCGATCCGGGAGTCCATTGATTTTGGCAATTGCGACATGCTGGATACGCTCAGCGAGATCTTGTCTTCCCATCAGCTCGAGACACTTTGTAACCCGATGGAAGTGCATCTCCTGTTCCATGGCGACGACGTAGATCATCTTGTCGAACTTGTGTGCCTTGTACCTGTCAAGGACTGTAGCAAGGTCGCGCAACAGGTATGAAGTTGTCCCGTTTCGAAAACGCACCACGGCTGTTGAAAGTCCCTTCGCGTCGTGCTTGGTAAAGTCGATCATCCAGGAACCGTCGTGTTCTTCATATACCCCCTTCTCCTTCAGAGCTTGTTCAACTTCGGCAATTGACTCCGCGCTGACCTGGGACTCTCCCGAGTACTCGTCAAATGTGACCCCGAGTCGCGCATAGGAATCTGTGTAGTCCTTCACTGTCGCATCACGGAACCGTTGCCAGAGTGCGATGGCATCGGGGTCCTTGTCCTCCATCTTCTTGAAGAAGACATCCCTCTCAGCATGTAGACCCTGCGACTCGATCTCGTTGGTATCCTTCCCCTCGCCCTTCGCTGCTTTGACTTGGTCATGCTCCGGCTTGAAAAGCTCCTTGATCTTGTGGTTGACTTCCAGCAAGTGACGGAGTGGTTGCTTGGCAAACTCTTCTTCAGAGCCAAACCTCTGCCATCCTGCGGCAAGGAGTCCAATCTGCTTACCCCAGTCTCCAAGATAGTTCATCTTGACAACGTCCCATCCCATACTGGTGTGTATGTTGGCCACGTATGAACCGACCAATGTGCTGCGCAGGTGGGACACCAGGAACTCGCTCTCCATATTGGGCGACGAGAACTCGACGATGGCCTTCTTCTTCGACCCATCAGGCGCAGCTGCATCGGCAAGACCGAGAGAGGAGTCATATCCATATGAGGCGCACCTATCATGGATGTAAGGCAGGAGAAGGCGGGACAATGTGTTGGGCGACGAGAAGACGCGGAGGTGGATGCCGTCCTTGATGGGGCATGCGAAAGGCGGCGACCTGGGTAACTATTCGTGGAATAATGTCAGACATGATGGCATCTCGGGGTGTGGATGTCAAGATCTTACTCTGTGGGCGAGATCTAGAACTAGGTCCTTGGGCTTGACGTCCTTGAGTCTAAGCCTCGGGGAAACGATCACGAGGTCCCCTTGCCCGGTAACATTGGACGGCTGGATGGCTTCATAGGCGACCAATCTGTCGCAGTCGACCAGCCTCTGCAGTGTGTCGGCGAGATAAACTCGGAAGATATCCTGGGGGTTGTGCACAATGTCTGCGCCAGGGAACTCGGGCACAGGAGTATGCAGGCCTGCCTTGCCAAGTAGGTCTTCGAGACCGCTGACGGAGCAAGTAGTCGCTGCCATAGCCACGATAATTCTGGATGGTGGTTTACGGCTGAAGAAGGGAGGGTGAGTCGGCGCGCAGGTGTGATTGCCTCGTTACGGTCAAGCCGGTTGAGCCAGAAGTCGAGGGCATTTGAATCGGAGCAGAGGAAGGCCGGCGCAGGATCGGGCACCAATTCTCGGGTCATTCTTCGACCTCATGCTGGTAGTAGGCTCAGTGATTTGCTAGGCCAGACTTATATACATACCTTTCGTTGGTTGCCATGCGTGGTGCGTTGTCCAGCTGCGCGATTGGTTTGCCGGTAAAGAGAAGGCTTTCGCAGGGCTACCGCGGCGATTGGTTCACGATTTTCCCGGTGAGGAAATACTCCCTCATTATCATGCTCCTTCCCTTTCATGCAGCCCTTGGGCCTCCTCTTGTGTCATCCCGCCTTGGGGTTGACAACGTGTCATATCTCGAACCTGACCATCTCCAAGCACATGTTCTGGAGTTTCGGGTGCAGTTGCCTGACGTCAAAAGACAACGGCCCAAGGATTTGGAATTGTTACACCCCTTCCCCTCATTTTGATGCCCGAAGCCCTGACAGGCCCAATAGAGTCTCAACGGTCCTTGGCAATGCGGCTGCCTTTTCCTGCGGGTAGTCACGGGTGAAGTTGGCCATCTGATATGGATTCATTCTCATCGACAATCAAGTTTGGGTATCACATAGACTAACAATGCACTATTCAGTTTACCCACTCTAAACGCACCCATGAATCCCATGCCTTTCACCCAGGGTATAATTTCAGTTCACCAAGATACTCGTAAACTCCAGCAATAAAACAAGATACGACTCTTAATAGCCCGAGTGACCTGAGGAGTTTGAGTTGCTCATAAGAGTCACTCATGACGCCGCAAGGCTCGGAAGGTCTCCGATAGAAATGTAACCACACGCTCAAACCATCGCCGCACTTTCTGCCAGTACTCCCCGGACAGGTACATGGCCACAGCAGCGCCCATCAGAATGCAGACCATAACCATGGCCACGTACGAGGGCCAGGACGCCGAACCACCCATGTCTGGCATGGCAGAGTAGAGCTGGGCCACTGTGTTTGGTATCGCAAAGACCTGTAGTGCTTAGTCTGGGGCTTCTATTACCCAACGAAGACGATCCAACTTACAAATGCAGCAATGGCAATTCGGTGAACCTGCTTCGTTAAGATCTGTTGTTCGCCCTCGTTGTCATATTTCCTCTACACTGGGGGTCAGTTTAGCTCCTTCAATGAGACCGGAGTGACTCACCTTCCGCCTCACTCCTTCGTACGCAATCTCCAGTTGCTTGAGCTCACCCTCAATGCCACATAGATCGTCTCTGCACTGCTTGACCCCAAGCAGAGACCGCAAGGCAATCGCATCGTGCTGCAGGCTTTGCCATAGGACGCCTTGGGGCAGTGCATCTGGGCCGAGAATAACATCCTTCTCCAAAAAGTGATCCAGCTGTGTGACCAGGCTGGAGGTCGAATGAACCACATAGTTGAGAGTTTTGGGGAACTTTTCTAACCAAGTATCCATTTCCTTGGCTGAGATATTGCCTGGAGAGCCGTCTTCTCCGTCGGAGGTCTATCAAGGCCAGCAATGTTAGTCAACCAATAACCGCAGCGTGTAGGACTTATCCGACAGCCATCTCTGTAGATACTCAAAATTATAAACTTACATGGAGATAGAAGCTGGTTTTGAACCAGTCTTGTACGTTCCCATGGTGCTCAACAATCTTGTCCAGAGCAATCTTGAGTGCTGCGACCGCGTAGGCTCTCGGAGACTTAGTGAGTTCGACTTCTGCCTTTTTGACTTCTGCCTGGAAGATAATGGGATCTGATTTCCCAACCAATACCTCGGTTTCTTCGTCCGATTCCAAATTGGACTCCTCGTTGAAGGCATGGTCGTCCAAGCACGCCGCGGTCCAATACTTGTCGCTTTTGCCCGTTACTGTGAGGGAATAAACAGCTTCATGTAAAATGGCATGATCGTGGAAGGAAGCTCTCTCATCTTCAGATGGCTCATGATCATGAAGGTGCAGGAAGTCAAGATCGTGACGGTTTCGGAGCCGCTTCCCGCCGTTCGATATGGTCCGACAGTCCTGGAGGTCCCGAGTGCTAATACCATAGTAAGGGATATTGAAGGAGATAACGAAACAACCACCCCACCAAGTCTGTATAATGAAAGATGTTAGTAGATGAGGCGGTAGGTGGATATTATGTATGTCTACTCACAGACTCTCGTAGTCTAAATTTGGGTTCTGGTGTTGGGGTGACGTAGTCGGCAAAGAGATTGCGAAAGCCCTCAACCTGTGAACCCGGTGTTGTTTTTATCAGGGCAACCACACTTGCTCCATTCGGGTTCTTAATGTAGCTATCATAGTCAGCATCCTACTACCATGCAACTTTAGGAAGACCGGGGTCATGAAGCCTACATCCGTCGTGGGGGTCCGACAGCGTCGCCTTGGGAACCTTCAGGAAAGCGCTGATATCAATAAAACAGTTAGTTGCAAACAAAATTTCGAGACAAGCTTTGTTTTTTTTTTCGCACCGTCTTCTCCAGAACCCGGAAGAGTTTTTTGTTGTCGAGGATCCGTGGGTAGTTGGGACGGGGACCAACGAGAGCCTCGTCAACCCAGTTTCGATCAGAAACCCATGCTTCTGGCTCCTGTGTTCCGGTCACCTCGGATCTCTCTGGATCCCCCGCTATCGTGTTCTGAAGGACGAATTCGCCGCCAGCGCAGAACTTTTCGATTTGCGACACGCGACGGTCCCAGCGGGCCGAACTCCTGGAAGGTTGGATGAAGCAAGGAATATCATCGATCTCAATGTCGCCTTCCCTTAGGACTTCAAGCAGTGCCTTATTTTCGATATCAGGAGAGATCTTAGCCGTCCTGGTGAGCCGCTTCCTCCACTCGTCTGGTTCAGACCAGTCAACCCACTCAAGAGTGGCAGTTGTCCACCGCTCGAACCGTTCGACATAGCCACGGAAGGCAGGGTGCTTGAGGGGGTTTCGTGGTTTCTGTGCTTCATTGTTCTCTCTTCGCCGATCTCCTTCAGCGTTTGGATGCATAGCTCACCCTTCGGTTTTGCGACCTAGACTATCTCTGTCAATAAACATCCAAGCTTACCATCACTATCGGCTCAACAAACAGTTCGGGCTCAGGCAATAGCAAGAGTGGTCCATTGTATAACGCCAAATTTTACATCCCCAGAATCACTTTTCCTTGACCACCCAACTTTTGTTTATCACCCCCTCGCACACAAAAACACACTTGATGACGGACCTTTTCGAGCTCAACTTGCATCCGTTGAGGACCAGCCGACTCAGTCCTCGGACGGGATGTCTTGCTAAGAAGTGACTTGGGCACTGCGGACGTTGAGTCGTTGACTGTTGCAGTTGGGGCATCTGGGTATGCCGCAGTTGGGGCATGGATCTACAGAAACCTTCATCCCTCCATGCCCACAATAACACTGGGAAGCCGTCAGTATGTATACACAACAAGGATCGTGCCCACAGCGTTGGGCATGTCATGTAATTACACTCACACAGATCCAGACCCATACTACCTTGCGACGGGGCGGGAGCTCCCGAAAAGGGAGGGGGGAAGTCGTTGGAGGCGCAGCTGGGTCGCCTTCTCATGTTAGCCAAGGAGACGAGATCGGGGCCGAAAGGAGGAGGAAGGTGGACAACTGGCAACGAGGCAGCCGTTAGGCGTCCATGGACATTTAAGCTGCATGGTAAAAGGGATCGAAAACGAGGCTGAAAGCGCTGTCATGTGCCCGTCAGCAAATGTGAGGCCCGCCACGGCGGCCACTCCGTCGACAAGACAGGGAGGGATGTCTCATTAGGTGTGATTGCAAAGTGACGATTACCGATGGAGAATAAGACATATATATTAAAAGGCCAGCGGGCTCAGTTTCCAAGGCCGGGGATATGTTTTGGGTGGATGCAGTGTTGTAAGGGTTGAATATAGCCATTTCTCTTTTATATGTTGGAAGGAGGGGGGCAGGAACGTGCTCTTCAAAGGTTTGTGTACCTACAAGAAGTACGTACAGTAACTCGGTGCTAAGCCGATCTACGTACTCGACTGGTATGGAGGCTAGGTATGCAGCGGGGGATAGAAAATACCGGACTCGCAGATAGAGGCCAATGGTTGGGCCAGGTTTGGTGTTTCTCGTCCACCGCTAGGGTACTTGGGTATTTTCGAACCCTTGCCCCTGCTCCGAGTTACATCGACCTCGCCAGGTAAACGTACCAAACAAGAAGAGACAGCGAATGTGTTGATCTCGAGCTTCTCACAATAGCTATGCATCTTCTACTAAGACCCCCAACCTGAGCAGAAGAAAAGACTTGCTATCCGGGAGACCTTTAGGGTGGGAATAAAGTTTCCTATTGCCGGCGAATATCCTATTATGAGACAGCAGCGCAGGCAGCTTGAAGCCAAACAAAACAAAGTGAAATGAAGGCAGAGTGCAGCAGTGCTGGAAAATAGGCAATGGTGGGAAGCAGAAACACTTCCCTATTGCTTAACAGCTGTTTGTCTTCATAGCTGCCTTGGCTGGCTGTGCCATTCCGCCTAAGGCGTTTCAACCAATAGAACCAGAACGAACGCTGTGTTAACCACTTTCCCATAAAGGGAAGTGGCCCGCCTATGGTTAGTCTGTTGTGTTACTGTATCTCCCACTGGCTAAAATGAAAAACTTGGTATGTTGCTACCCTATAAGGGATCATACTATCTCAATCAAATCTCAGTAATTTCAACAGTGAGGCGCCATTATCGCATCGGGAAAAGTGCCTATCTAGGAAAACCTCGGTCGGATCCAAACCACCTCCTCAATTGGCTCGAAAACCCTCGCCGGCTGGGCTCAATCAAGTGACTCAAATCCCTGAGTTATCACAGACGAGACCCGTCACGTGAATCCTTGCGCATTTCCTCCAGTGATACATGTGCCTCGCCGGGCCCTGCCTTGTGGCATAGATTGGGTGATCGTCTCGGTCACGTGATCAGTCACGTGACCCATGGCCGGGCGTCGAGTCGGTTGACTGTAGGGTAGGTAGTTGGCTCGGTGGTCTCGTGGCAGTGGTCGGTAATTTCAACAGTAATTTCAACAGGGCTGCTGACATAATCAGCAGCCGATGGCACAGTTGCCAATTTAACGAGTGTTGAAGCGCTGGGTATCACAGTTTGGGCATCGAGGAACACCACAACGTGGACATGGGTCCACACTGACCTTCATCCCTCCGTTCCCACAGCAACACTTGGGCACAGTTAGCTTGCTTACCTCTATTGGCGGTCGAGAGGCAGCTGTTTTCTTGGGATGCTTGCCTAGTACTTACACATATCCACACCCAGACTACCTTTCTACGAGGCAATCCATGTATGGGTACGTCGGCATCCGAAAGAGGCGCAGCTGTGTGCAGCCCAGTCTTCGTTAAAAACCATGCGGTAAGCGGACAGATGGGCTTGGGAACAAAAAGGCATACCTTGGGCTTCTACCAGCCAGTTAGCAGGCCTAACTTCGGCCTCGCCCGTGGAATCGGAGGCTACCAGTCGCCATCCAGAACCATTTACCAGACGGTTCTGGGCCGAACCATTTGCTAGATGGCTCTGGGTCGCAAGGCGACTGCAGAAGAGGGATGTTCTACCGTGGTCCCGTCAATCTCGTCTCTGCACCAAGTCACGTTCAACCTCCCACCCGTACCTCTGGGACTCCATTCGTGGTTGCACTCAGGATGAGCATCGACGACCGTACAGAGATTTGTTTGGTGAAACCTGGGGATATTGGAACTTGTTCTGACATCCCCAAGGTTTCATGGCGGGGCTAGACCGAGATTTATTTCAACCAGAACGAGAACGGAATTCGCTTCTCTTTACTTCTTTTCCTCCCACTGATCTCTATGTGGGATAGGCTCGGTATGGCAACTAAACCCTACCACAGAGTCTTTGTACCTCGCCATCGCATGCTGGGTTAAAGGGGGTTTCCCATCCATTGTTTCCCGTCATCCTGTCCCGCCCCTGACTTCACCGCTCAGCAACCGTCACCTTTCAGAGGGGTAGGGCTAGTGATAGGCATGCAGGCCCCTTGTAAATGCATTTCAGCACATTGATAAAATAGCCATGTCCACGAGTGGCTCAGAAGTTTCCCAGTCTCAATTCTTTCTTTTACTCGGCCCGCAGACCTCCCAAGAACGAGGCATTTACAATTCTTGCTTTTTCCCAGACATTTATTGGGACGGTGATGAACAATGTTTATCATCAGACGCTGCGCAACAACGCCCCCAGACGCCTTGCGGCCAGATCCTTGGCCCTCGCCCGCTGTACAGGCAACACAAATCGACCAGAACAAAGTATTGTCGCAAAAGTTTCTTCGTCATGCGTGCGGGGGATCATCGTGAGGCCAGCTACTTAACAGCGTCATCGGAGAGGATATCTTGGCAGTTGTGCAAGGAGGTTTTAGCAAGACTTCGAGAAGAGATCCATATATGCCATTGATGTTGAACCAGTCAATGTGGAGAAGGTCCAGACCGCAAGCCATGTACTCCTCCGGGTTTCCATGCTTCTTGAGTAACGGTTCACTTTGGGTCAAGTCGAAGCTTTGCGTGACATTGGCGGCAATATCCTCACACCGAACTGCAAGCTTGTATCCATTGGCCAACCATTGTTGAGAGATTCATGTTCACATCACTCCACACGGGTGGCAACTCACACCTAGGTGTGCATCGGCCGGCGACCAAGGAGATCCTCCGCGCGCCAACAATGTGCTGGAGCCGCGGTGTGCAAGGTAGGGTGGCAGTGCGCTGCTGAGTTGTGGACCTGACCTGGCAGAGGCTTAGCATCAGGCTGGCCATGTGGGAGCTTAGGGTGGGGTTCATATGCACGTTGTTGAAACAACTCAATATGGAGATTCAAAGTCGACGATGGGTGATATGAGCTCCACCGAGGCCCGTGTCAGTCACAATCATACTCTTAAATGAGGGATGGCCAATTGGGGATCCCGAAAGAGAGTCCGCCAGATCCGAGTACTGTAGGCTGAGTCGGAAGGTGTAAGTGAGGGACAAATCAGCCCTGTTTCTTTAGCCCCTGTGCCGGCTTCTTTATCCGGGGCCTCTAGCCGCCGAAGGTCTACTCTTTGTTCGGCAATGAAACAAAAAACGGGACAGCTCACTCACCCCTGTCATATTCGTCTAGGTAGCGGTGATGTATTGCAACAACTCGTGCTCAAACCCCCTGGGGAGTCTCCCATCAAGTCTCCCATCCAGGTCTGCGAGCTGAGTATCCCTCCAAAGTCGAATCGAATAGCAAGCAGAGTTCCTTCTATTAAACCACTAAATATACATATACAACATTATGCGAGATGAGAGTTCCCTCGGTTGTTACCCGGGAACAAATCTATTGCTCCAGGTTGCCCATTGAATTCATGATTACTGCTCCCCAGTCAAGATAGCCGTCAAACCATACAGACGGATCGACCCCTTGCAACATCTCAGTTGTCCACGGCGTTCCGCTATTCCAATTCTGTGCTTGAAGTGGATCTACTGGGAAATCTCCGCCTATGAACGTCTCTGTTCCGTCCATGGGTGTCTTTCCTGTCTCGCTGTTGTGGTGGCCGTTATCCTCCATGTCCATGTCCCGGCTCTCCTCATCCTGTATCTTGAGTGCTTCCGTCCCCGCAGCCACTATTTCAGCCCAACGCTCCAGTTTTGCCCTGGTGATGCGAATTTTGATAGCACTCATACTCCACAGATTGTGATCTGAAGCACCAGGCTCTGTTGACGCGACTTGGAACGTTGCGTTTGCCTCTTCAAAACGCGAACATACACCCGAGAGAATACCCGAGACATCCAGGGAGAGGCCAGGTTGAGTTTGTATCTGCGACCGTAGGGAGGCCACAGCAGCGGGTAGTCTTGGATCCGTTCCCTCCCGTAGAACAATCTGGCTACACTCTGTTGGGTCGTTCTCATGACCCGGTGTGGAACTGGCAGGCGTGGCCTTTCTCGAACTCATACTTGCCGAGTACTCAGAATCTGCTTTGAACAGTTCAACATTCGGGTTATCCGCGCTCGTGTCATTCGGCATTGATATTGGCGTCTTGGTTCCGTTGAGTGTGATGGGCACTGTGAACTTAGCCCATCTACCTAACACGGTCAAGGCATACACGATTTGGGCAGCCACCGGTGTTGTCTGGCAGTAGTATTCGGATATGGGGATCGCGAGCCAGTTGTCAAACCATTGTTTCAGCGCATTCCTGGACTGGTAAAAAATGTCGAGGGCTGACGCAGCGCCCAGTGTTGGGGAGGTAAGTGATTCAGACATGGATATGATGCGAGGGGCGTCTAGTACTGGGGGCTCATAGAGTCTGAGGGCAGCAGTGTTGATGAAAGTGCACATAATCCCTACAAAGGTCAGTTTATACAGTGTTTCCAAGGCGAGAAAGTATACTGACTGTCGTCCTTCAGTTCTGGAGGCAGCCCATTTCGTATGCGGTCGAGTTCCCCTTGAAACGCAGAGACATATGCGGATAGCGGTGCCGTGGGAAGGCCCGCAACCTCCTCTGCGGGGTCGTCGGGGGAGTTGAGCTGGGAGATTCGCTCCGTCAAGTGTTGAATACGGACGAGATAGACGAGGCGAGTGTCTGTGGGGTACTCTTTCTCCCGCTCCAGGACCCCAAGACACTCCTGAATATACTTTGTGTAACGCATCGACTCTATTCGGGAGAATCCGAGTGACATCCTAGTTCAAGTTAGAAATGAGCTCTCATGTATGACAAGCAAGAACACCCTACGCTGATGACAAGAACCAAACACCAAGGAGGGCCCTCCTCTCTTCGTTTGTGCGACGCTCGGGTTGAAAAGGTTTCACAACCATCAGGTTCGTACGCTCGAGCACAGTTGGGCTACGGTGGAGGCCCAGCTCGCCGACAAGTGTCACAGCCATGGCGATCAGGTTGTTCAACTGAGCGTGCATGAAGCAGTGGTACTGATACCAAGCTGCAATGACGATGATTCCCATCAGTAGATCAAGAGATCGCTCGGAGCGGATGAGCATGTGGTCTGCTATGTGCCGCATCAGGTAATACATCTGGGCCCTCATCGATCTTAGACTTCGGAAGGACGTGACCATCCTGATGGCCGACATGAGAAATGGCCGGGTGGCCTTGAGTCTCGCTGCCGTAACATTTCGTGGAATCACGACGAAGGGATGCAGCGCCAGTAGCTCGTTTCTGTATATGTTTAAGAGTACCTCGTCCGAGGCAGGTGGAGGAGGAGCATCCCCGGATGCAGGCCTACAGATGCATTGGGGTGGAGCGTAGGAGTTGTAGGTATCAGGAATAGCCCAAGGACTAGATCCAGGTGCAAATGAAGCGTCCGAAGATTTTGATGATGGCTTCTGTTGGTTGGAGACGGCGGGATCTGCCTCAGTCGGGATGCACGTTGTATCTGTTGCCAGATCCGCATTCGTCAGACCCCCTGACGCCTTGAGCAGATTTACCAGCCCATTCAGCCGCTCTTCAATTTGAGCCGTTCGCCTAAAGGGTAAAGGTTAGTCCTTGTTTGCATAGCAGTAATCGCCTAGGGTTTCCATCATCCCCAGGTGTTTGAGTAACAGTAATCGGCTTGGCTTGCCAGCATTCCCGGGCGGTTCTGTGTGAGGGTCGACCTACGAAGGCTTTGGCTGTCTCTTCTTTCGAGGTCGATGAACCTGCTCGGTACAAACTTTGACCAATCTCTCGCATCTACAAGCATGTGTCAGTCAAGATTTCTACCGCGGCTCTTGATAAAGATATGGGGCGATGCCCGGGGGCAGCTCCGGTGGACCCGGCACTTACACCCCGATAACACGGCTCGTTCGGCATCGGTGACACGAGTTTTTAATGATCACCGGCCGACGGAGGCGGAAAGAGAAAACGAGAGAGTGGGTATCCGACTCACCTGTCACACTTGGCCCCGGGAGCACTGTTTGAGCGGATGCATTTCGCCTTTGCGGTTGCGCACTGAGAGCAGGCGGCTCCCCATTTAGCCGTCGCGGGCTTGGGCCTGTCGGCGGCGGCTGTCGACATCATCTCGGCCGGGAGTAGAAGCGCTTCAGCGGTACACAAGCCAATGGAAAAGAAGCGGCCCAGGTTCTCAAGAGAGGAACAAGTCCGGCGGACTTTTTGGGAAGTAGGGAAACCTCCTGGCCTCTTCTTTAAGAGTTGTCAGATGGGATGGGTTCTTGGGCGTGGATGTGAGGCGGAGTTTATCTTGAAGCGCATAAAGTCCGTCCCGGCTGACTAAACGAACTCCGTTGTGGGGCCGGATTTCAGGAGCCGCCGGTATTGGTCGCACCAACCACCCTTAGCTGAGGCTTATCCTGAGACGTTGCTCGACCGAGAAGAACCGGAGACTTTGATAAAGGCCGTATCTTACGAATGACGCGCCAGCTTTGGCCTCATTGACGGGCAATGAACGTCATCCATTAAAGCCTGTTAGAGTTGGTGCCTAGACTTTTCGTGTTCAGCTCGGATCATCGGGACTTGACCGTTATCGACGGAGGGTGGATAAGGGAGAGGATATCGGATGTTGGTATAAAAATGAATGATGATATGATAGACTGACAAACTGAAGCTGCTGAGCGAGAGGTGGAAAAACTCTGCCATGTTGAGGCCTCGTCTTAAGGCCACGACAGCTTCCTCGCATTTGCTGTTGGGACTTGCCTTGTGAGATGAGTATAGGCTCAAGAATGAGCTTGAAGCACTTTGAGATTAGCCAGTCGGGGTCGAGAAATTGTTGAGCTTCCTAGCCTTATGTGCCAATATTATGCTGCGTGGACAGGCATCATCAAGAACGTCCTTCAAACATCTGTGATTGGATATCACTGGCAACGAAGGATTGCCGCGCAAGAGAGTTCGCAATTTCATGACTCAACTAATCCTCACCAAGGTCCGCTGACACGCACTCTAGCAACCATACTCGAGAAAATTGAAACGCATTCTAACAAAAGAAGCCTCTATTATCGAGGCCTAAGACAAGCTCCTAGCCTTTATGACGCCCGTATATCAAATACACCATATGATGGTACATGCCGCCCCGGAGTTATTATGTTGTGAAACTCCATTAGCCGACTTATACAACTCCCAACGACCCGACAATATCCCACGAAGCAGTTCTGCCTCGCTCCAGCGAAGCCATCTTACTTGGACTTGGACACACCAGCACCAATCACACCGGGAAGCTTCTCCTCACCAACACTGAACAGCATGCCGATAGCCAGGTACAGAATGACAACCATGGAGATGGTGAAGCCAGCAAAGAGCCAGAACTGAACACTGATGTCCTTCTTGGAGCATGCGCCACCAGCCCAGTGGGTGACGCTGCCGCTCTCGCTAACTGTGCCCAGGCAGTGGCAGCTGAAGCAAGCATCCTTGCCATCAGAAGAACCATCTCGCTTGGCGTATCTGTTCTGGCAGAAGCCATGGCCAGAGCAGTTGGCAGTGCCCTGGATGCAGCTGTCCTCAGATGTGAAGCAGGAGGGCACAAAGGAGGGGACCGAGGAGAAGATGGGATTCTCGGCAACCGATGAGGTTTCGGCAGCCGACTCGACGGCATCCTCAACCGATGTCATAACGGTCTCGGCCTGTCGACGTCGCAGCTCCTGTTGTTCTTCGGATTCCGTCGCATCTGAGCCCTGGGGGAGGAATACCAGAGTGGTCTCCACCTCGCCGGACTCGGCAAGCTTCTGGAGCTTGGGGAGCTCACCCAGGAAGGTAACTGGGTGGTCGGCATCCTGCGCAACGTTAGATAAGCATTTCAAGATAGAAAATCATCACAGGAGATGTACCTGAGACCTGTCGTAGGTAGCGACAGTCGACTGGTCATTCCAGCAGCTTCCCTCCTTGCTGACGACCTTGCTCAGGGGGCAACCATGCTTCTTGGCGATAGCGAGGTCATAAAAGTTGTTCTGCTCAATCTTCTCCTGGCTCTTCGAAACGGTAAAGTCGGGCTCGGTGTGGAAGATCCAGCCAAAGAACGATTCGTACTCAAAGGTTGGCATTCCCTCAACCACAACAACAAGCTGCTTGGGCGTCGCATTCTGCTCCTTTGTAAACAATGGCGCCGAGGCCTTTCCATATTTGTTGATCAAGGAGACAATTCGCTCCTTATCGGCCTTGGCAGGGATGTCGCGAAATGATGGGCCGTCGCCCTCGGGAGCGAGTCGTTGCTGCAGGACGAGACGGGCTTCGTTCGGGGTGAGACTCGTAGTTGGCTCCACGGGATGCGAACCGCGTAGGATGTAGACGCGGGCGGCCTGCTCGGCGGCCTGCTGAGCTGCAGCGGCAAAGCTGGCGAGGGCTACACTGAGCCCAATGGTGAGCTTCATTTTCGGCGTGTGTTGATGAAGCTTTGTTGATGGGGAGCCAGGCTGAGATAGCTGGAGGTGTCGCAAGCTCCAGGCACGGAGAGTCTGGGGATGCATGCACGTGTCGGGATCGCGGCGTGGAGTTGTTCCGTCATACAGTGTGATGTTTCGCATTAGGCGGTTTTGAGCGCCTAAAGTGGACAGTGCTGTCAATCATATGCACAGTGCATCTTGCGCCTCAACGGCTTGCATCAAGCCGACGCCGGCATTTCAACATCACCATCGCTACTATCGCCACCCTCACAATGCATTTCACTCCTTGAAGTTCTTTTCTACACGGCGAGCGCGGCATTTTTCTTTTCTCTTTAGTCTGTATTTTATTTAGTGCCTGACCCCAGGCCAGGCCAGAGCCAGCATGTTGGCTCGACAAGCCGTGCTGCGCCGAGCAGCCATCTCGACCATCCCAACACAACGAATCATCACCCGTCAGATTCGACCTCTGACGAGACAAATATCCTTCCTACCATGGCGTCGACAAAAAACTCCAGCCGGCGTCCCCGTTTACTTTGCCAAACCGAAAACTTCCTACGGTCCGAGTTTCCGAAGACGGCTTGGGTATGCAATACTCATACAATTGAAATGGATGGAAAACTGATGGATTATACAGCCGCGCCCTTTTTACGACTGTAGTCTTCTATGCCTGCTGGCAAATATTCATGGCCGTGGTCTTTGACCCTCTCCTCGACTGGGCCGACGCAGAATGGGAAGCCATGTCGGATAAAGAAAAGGAAGAGGTGCAGAACATGGCCGAGGAGGACGAACCCATATTATTCCTACCCTTCCCTTTTACGACCGAAGAGGTTAAGCAACCCCCTTACCGGGGCTCCGACCCGGAGTGGGAGATGTTTGTCAAGGTCAACCAGGATACGAAGCTCCAGAAGGAGATCAAGTGTTAGTGCCCAGAACTACACCATTGAAACTTGCGCATTCTAACGCATCATAGTCGGTCTCGCGGACGAGATCAAGAGGGGAGTTGAAAAGAACCCTGCATTTGTCAAACTTCTTGGTGGCGGGGCAATCACAGTCAGAAAGCTCTGGTTGGATATCATCTATCCGCCTGCTCCTCCGCCGAAGCACTATATCTCTGGGTAAGCATGACTTGAAAACTCAAACGTGACTTGTTACTTATCATTTCACCATAGAATCATCATTGATGAGGAGGGCATCTTTTGGGGTGATCGACCCATCGATTCAACTGCCGCAAACCACCTCGCCAAGGTTCTCTACCCCAAGGCTGTGGCATTGACATGTTGGACATTTATCAGCTTTCTTGCAAAGCAGGGATTTCAAGACTTTACAAGAGCTCTTGGTTTTAGCGACCCCGTCCCTCCAGAGCCGACATTCCATCCGGGGCCCCTCGAGCGATTTAAGGGACAGGGTGGGTTCCCCCCAGCCGGCCCTAGGAATCAGACTGTCAGAGTGGTTGGACAGTCTGAGCGACCTCCCCATGGATCTTTCCCTACCGGCAACGGCGATATCATTGGTACACTTTTTGGCAGCGAGACACAGTTTGACCCTCGCATTCAAGCCGCCATCCAGGCTGCTTCTCTCACCTTTGCTCGAAACTGGAAGCCCACAAAGACGTCTCCGAACAGGGGATGCATCAGAGTTGATGGAGTCGTCGAACTGAAGGGAAAGACCGCATGCATGGCAGTTTACGTCCTCGGCTGGTACGACCCCAAGTTGCGGAAGTTTATGGGCATCCAGACTGGCCTCAAGCACTTGGTGCAGTTAAAGCAGCGGCCGGCGCCCGGCTAGCGGAAGAGAATGGGATACCGGGCCAAATGAGCGGATGAGCAGCGTGGATTACTGGCATGGCTTTGCGTGGCGCTTGGAACGGGGTCTGATTTGAGATACCATGGATAGAATAGGAATATCGCAGCTTTTCATCCACAAACCAACCATTGGACACATACAAAATTTGAGATTGCACATAACGAAGCAGCAGCGTGTGAATATACCCTATAAACCCTATATTCCAAGACCGCTTCGAAAAACAAGAAAAGAGTTTCCTATACTCTCTCAACACCGTCCCTGTTTCCGACACCACATTCCGTTCCATTCATTGACGGGAATCACCAATGTCCCCTAATGACATGGCTCTTCACCAGATTAAGGGAGGGGTGGGGAGGTGGTCCCATGGTCGACCCTATCCCTCTTTCGGTCTTATAAAGCTCCAGCTTGATGTTGGGGACCCCCTAGTTCCGCAGCACGTTGATGAAGATGGTGAACACTTCCAATTCGACCTCGGGGCCGCCGGGTACCCGTTCGTTTCGGGGGATGGCAGCGATGAGGTGTGCCTCCACCACGTTAACCCCCGGGTGCAGCATAGCCTCAAAGGCTCGCTCGTTGGGTTGTTGGCCTGGGGCCGGGTGGTGGGTAGGCTTCAGGGGTTGCTTGTTTACAAGCGTCCACAGACTGTATTGCCTATCCTGCAAGTGATCCGGTATCGCTGGAACAACGAGGATGCGGGTCAGATGAGGAGGCAGGTTAACTGTGGCTGACTGCTGCATCTCAGTGGGACTTGGCTTGACAGTTGCCACAGTAGGGCTGTGTGATTGAAAGGCGGGATGAGCCTGTATCCTCACGCTTTCGATGAGAGCATCGTCAAGACCTGATAATCGTTAGCAACTGCAACCCTCAAGTAAGAATCGACTAATTTTACCTTTACCAGGGCGACGGAAGTGCTTCTGCTCCATGTAGCCATTAACAAGGGGGTTATGCTGAACTGGCGGGGGCTGCGCAACAGGCGCGGGCGCGGGAACGGGACCAGGAGCTACACCTGGCGCTGGTGTTGCTTGCCCCGAGGCTACGCTAGGTTGTCTTGGGATGCCAGCGGGTGATGCGCTTGCGACCTCCTCCGCCTTCAGTGTTGGCTGAACAGATGGGCTTGGGGAGGGAACAGAAGCCGAGACGCTTCTGGCCTTATCCAGCTGCACGTTCGGCACGGCGGGAGTTGACGTGCGGGCCGTCCCATTGACACTCTGGCCGTTAGTTGTGGCATCTGTTGGCTGGGCTGAAGCAGGCGTATCCGCAGAGTCCCGTTGACCACCAACGTGAATCGTTATCTTCTTACCAGACGGTGTTGGGGTATCTGTAGACTGGCCGACTTTGAGCTTGATCTTTGCCTGTGAAGGCTCTGCCACAACAGCCCGGGCCTGCTTGAGCTGATCTAGGAAGAAATCCTATCGAGATGGTCAGGTAGTGTCACCGTAGCAGAATGGGATCCAACCAACCTTGAGCTCCTGAGCAAGGGCGTAGATTTCGCTTCCCTCTTCGTTGTAATAGAAAGCGTTGGTCCAAAGAAGCTTCGACTTCTCCTCAAAAGCGTTCCATGTCTTGAACTCGCTGATGCCAGTCACCTCACCGCGGCTTTGCGCACCCTTGACCATCTTCTGCAGTTTTCTGATTGAGAGAGGGTCTGTGATTATCTTATAATAATCTTTGAGCGCACGAGGTGGCAGGTTGATAAACGCCTCGAAATAAGCATCCTCGTACCTGGAAATGTTAGACACAAGGGTAGAGGGCGATTAGTTGCGAACTTACTCAGGATCTTGGTATCGGAGAAGCTCCTCGACAATCTTCTCCTGTGCTTGCTGGAAATTGAGACCCTTGTAGGGCACATCCTCGTACTCATGATCAGGCTTCGCTGGAGGCGGAGCCGGCTTTGGCGTTTCCTTGACTCTGGTAGACGCTCGCCTAGGCGTGCGAGCTGCCGCCGGCCCACGGCGTTTGAGAGTAATGGTCCGCCTCCTTGAGCTTGGCTCCTCTTCCTCTTCTTCTTCCTCCTCCTTTTCTTCCTCCTTTTCATCTTCCTCATCATCTTCCGCATCTACAGCTTCATCATTATCCTCTTCTCCTTGAGCGTCCTCCTCCTCTCCATCCTCTGGCGGAAGAGGAGTAGGCATAGCTTGGTAGCCACGCTGGTGATATGCAGGATTTGTCTTGGTCATGTAGTTGCTGAGGGCCTTTCTGATTCGTTCCGCGTCGTCAAAGGTGGTAGATGACCGAGGATAGAACTCCTTCGCATTAGAAATCATCCTCTTGAACAAGCTCTCAAGTTCGGCTAGAGTCTCGAATTCGCCGTTGTTCAGTTTCTTCTCGATCAATTCCAATGAGATGGGCATGCGGGTTCGTTTGTAGTACTCTGCATTGCCGTTGCGCGCCGGTAGCTTTTCAAAGTAAGTTGCGACAAGACGGCCCCTATGGGAAGGGGTTAGTATATCAAGTCCTCAGTGATGAAATAGGCCGGTATACCCTTTGTCTGCAGTCCTGCGCAGCTGTTCCAAAAAGGCCATGCCATATGCGGTGGTCGACTCGCGGGTTTCGCCCTTCGAAAGGTCATATTCATCCTGTGGCAGGCTCCAAGTCAGTCACCAATTCAAGTGCAGAGAGGTGAATATTGATGCTGGCGCGTCATGGCAGTGCGAAGGAACAGCCATATCAAACATGGCTGCGTTGCACAATCCATCGAAAGCAAGTTCGCAAGAGGCATCTAGACGGGCTTACAGCAAGTTTGCGACGCTTCGCAGCTCGGTCGTCGGTTTCCCCCGATGCGGCCCCATTGGCCTTGCGCTTGCTGTCCATCCTGGCTGTAGTCGCTACGGTCGCCGGACCAGGCGCATCACAAACTTATGCAGTATCTTTTGCCAGCAGAATTTGTCGGCGCACAATGGGAGTTCGCAGGCCCCGGGGTCAAGGTCGCTGCGACGGCGCTGGTGTGGATTTTGACGCGTGCTGGTCCAATGGTCGCGTCAAATAGGACAGTGTTTAGGAGGCTCGAGGGCGGGTGCAGCGCGACGATAATGGGGGTTTTAGTGCAGTTTGAGGGCTGTAAAGGATGTTGCGTAAGTATTCGAGCTCGTGTGGGCTATTGCAAGCCTATGCAGCTCTTTGCGAAAGCCGGGAGTTGGCGCTCGAGTCGATTTTGGAGAGGTCGGGAATGAGTGGGCTGGCTTGTTGCAACTGACCTGGCTGCGGGAGGGCGAGGTGTGAGAGGAGGTACATGGTGGAGGTACCCGCTTGGCCTGTGCCATGCCTGAAAACAGTAATCAGGCAACAAGGCAAACAATTTTGCCAGCTGTGCGGGACAGTTGAGCTGAACCGGAAGGGCTGGGGAAATATTGGGTTGTATAATGATGCATAATGTAAATATTGTGCCTTTTCTTTTCTAAATTTGAATACTATCTCTTTGGTCTGGGGATAGAAAATATGGTCTTGTAAGATAGGTTGCCAATTATACTCGTAATTGAAGCTCATCATGAAACCCTCCAAAACACCAAAGTGATGATGTGCATATAGAGAAATATCTGTCAATTCCGTCGAGCTACCGTAAGCTCTCTTTACTGAAATCGAGGTTTCTATAAACAAGTAGCAAATATCTCAAATTCAATTTTCCCCTCGGCATGTTACACAGCTCCCATAGACTCGGCGGCTCGCATGATAAAGCTGGCTTGCTATGAGGGGCCAAGCTAGGAACCCAGCACAGGCGGGATGGTGGTCGTGGGGCGCCTCGCAAGCTCCCTACCTCTCCTTCAACCCCACATTGACCTCATTCTTAAACCTGGAAGCTCGGTGCTCACTTGTACGACCTTCACCGTCATTCATCGCAAGTGATAATTGCGCCCCGACGAGAATATGGCCGACTCTACACCCAGTGACCCGCCTCCTGACTACGAAAAGTCCACCGCAGAGAAAGGTGGCCCTCCCCGTCCTCTGCGCAAAGGCCCTCTGCCTCTGGACCTTCCTATCCTCAAGCACCTAAACTCCAAGCGAGTGATCCTTGCGTCAGCATCGCCTCGCAGGAAGGCGTTGCTTCAGCAGGTGCGCGATAATTGATATGGCGGGTAGCGTTCATCTTCTCACCTTGCACAGTTTGGCCTCACGAACCTCGAGATCCTCCCATCTACGAAACCCGAGAACCTAGATAAGACGGCTTTCGGTCCCTTCGAATATGTAGCTGCGACCGCCCACCAGAAGTGCATGGACGTCTACACCACAGCCCTCGAGACCCATCTTGCATCGATACCCGACCCTGATCTCGTCATCGCCGCTGATACCATCATCGTCTCCCGGGACGGCCGGATTCTTGAGAAGCCTCGAAATGAAGCCGAGCACATCCGCATGCTGAAGCACCTTCGAGACACGCGGATGCACAAGGTCTTGACGGCAATCACTGTTCTTGCTCCCAGAGAGGACGCGAGACATCCAGGGTACCAGATCGATAGCCACACGGAAGAGACCAAGGTATACTTCCTGAGCGAGTCCGATGGTCTTCCAGACGATGTGATTGAGTCGTATGTCAAAACTCGGGAGGGTGCAGACAAGGCGGGAGGCTACGCCATCCAGGGCATTGGCGGCATGTTGTTAGTGGAGAAGATTGACGGAAGCGTGGACAACGTTGTGGGGTTGCCCGTAAGAAAATGCATGGCCATGGCGGAAAAGGTGATATTTAAGCAGGTCGAGGAAGATTTCGAAGGGGAAGGGTCGGAGGAAGAGTAAGGGATTCGAGGCACAAGATAAACCAACACTTATAGATGCTCATGTGAATATCACGGGAAGTGAATCACGAGCAGATCAACCTACCTAGGCAACCAACCGAGGAGCAGACCTCACAGGTGTATTACAGCCCAGCTACAGACACTACCAGCTGCAAAACGGTGTCTTCAAAGTAATGCATGGAATGCGACTTCTCAATGGTGATACAACCTAGGTAGTTGAGGGAGTAACAACTGCACATGTCGATATATTCCACTAAAGTTGAGCCCACATGTCTACTCTTCTCCGAGGTTAGGAAACTTCAAATCGAGCACAGCGAGAATGTGAAAGATTCAGGGGTCCAATAAGATGTGCCAATATCAATCTATGCGCAGTAACCATTGGTTGTAGGTTGCTTGACTCCAACACAGGTTGGATGCGTATCGAGGTTAGATCAGGAACCACAGCATGCAAACAACGGCTTCCCACATGCGAAAAGCCCGATTGAACCTGCCCGTGCAAGGACCAGGGTCCTGTAGTGTCATTTTCACATGGAAAATCCGGGGCACAGCACTTTGGACCCTTGCACGTCATCAACCTCCATTAACACTCACGCGCATGAAAAAGGCTTGCATGCGACATCGAATCCAGCTCGATATTTACGCGCGCCTTTGATAACTTTAGTCACTTTTTGTTGTGCTACAGCTCTTTTTTTTGCTAGACACAGCTATGTCTTCTCCAAACAACAAATCAGCCGCGAATGGCGAGGGCGGGGTGCCCAACGATGAGAAACCGCGCCTCACTGAAGAGGAAAAGAAGCAGAACCACATCGCATCAGGTATGAAGGTCTACTCTATTTCCTGATACTCTTATACATTCATCTACCTTTCCTGGACACTCTGGACCTAATGCGCACGCACACAGAGCAAAAGCGCCGGCAAGCCATCCGCGAAGGCTTTGATCGCCTGACAGAGCTTGTGCCCGGCCTCGAAGGCCAAGGGAGATCAGAAGGCTTGGTCCTCAAGCGCACAGTGGATTACATGCGCGAGCAGCTCTCAGAGAGACAGGCGATTATCGATCGCATCGAACAAGCTGGAGGCGACGTTGACGAGAAGCACAAGAGGTCTGGCTAACCATGTGACCACATGACCCACTGATCAGGAGGGCTGACGGTGTCCCAGGGCGATATATCAACAAGCAAACAATCCAGGGCGTACGAGAGGATGATTTTGCAACTGGAGGAGAAATACTAAAGCGAACAGAGAAAAAAGAAAGTTAATGTATAAAATTCACCACGCGTCTACAAGAGTAAAGGCTTTCAAGATAGGACGGATTGGGCGACATCAGGTATCAAGCGCCAGGACGAGTTCCAATAGCCATTGGACAACCTCGAATCCTGACACCGAATAGATGTGCAAACCTGGGTCGCACCGCGCCATAATCGTTTCAAGGGAGGGAGTAATCATTATGGGAGAGAGGATTGGTGTATTATTTTTATAGAGTGCCTCAAAGAGCAACCCGTCTGTCTATTCAAACGTGTCTACCATGGTTTTTAACCTCTCGCGCAGATCTTCTGGTGATATCCTCTCCCTGCCCAAAGCGACCTGCTTGTTCTTGACATCTTCATCTCCAACCACCAAGATCTGGCCGTACCCATTGGTTCGTGCCTCCTTAATCTTGGCGCCCAGGGGCCGCGCTGTAGTGTCAACGTCCACAGCCAGTCCTGTCGGTCGAAAGACATTCTCCTGACCGGGCAGTGTACCCGCCTCAAGCTGCTCATACACTTGCTTGTTATGCCCAACCAACACGTCACGCACATGCTCAGCCCAGTCAAGGACAGGTGTGGAGGTGTTGACTGTGAGGATGATGGCCTGGCGAGGGTTGAGCCAGAAGGGCCATTTGCCATCGTACTTTTCGATCAAAAGCGCCATAAGACGCTCAACAGAGCCCAAAACGGCTCGGTGAATCATGACGGGGCGAACAGGTCCGTACTCGGCAAGAAGCGCAGGGTCTTCGGTAGTCTCACCCCGAGCTTCGTACTCAGGAGCGGGAGCTTGGTACTCAAGCTCGAATCGCTTGGGAAGCTGAAAGTCCAGTTGGATAGTGGCCGTCTGATGCTCCTTTCCATCAGAGTCCGTGAGAACAATGTCAATCTTTGGACCATAGAAAGCACCGTCTCCCTCCTTGACTCCCCATTCCATGCCTGACGCATCAAGCGCTCGCTTCAATGCGTTCTCGGCTTGTGCCCACTCCTCCTCGGTGCCGATGTAGTGATCCTTTGGTCGCGTAGAGAGTGCCAATCGATAGCTTGCGCCAAATCGCAGGACAGTATAGACGACCTTGACAAAGTCGAGCGTCTTCTTGATCTCCTCCTCAACCTGGCATGGCCGGCAAAAGATATGTCCATCGTCCTGGTGGAAACGTCGCACCCGAGTCAGTCCACTAAGGGCTCCAGAGATTTCATTGCGATGAAGAGGGCTAAAGTCGGCATAACGAATAGGTAGGTCTCGATAGCTGTGTCGTTTCGAGGCAAAGATGAGGCAGTGACCAGGACAATTCATTGGCTTCAGGCCATAATCGCCCTCTTCCTCGTCTTCAGGCTTCAGATTCTCTGGATGACTCCCACAGCACCCATCATGCTCCGCAGGCGGCTGCTCTGTATTTCCCCTCACAGCGTACATATCATCCGCATAATTCTCCAAGTGTCCTGATTTCGCCCACAGCGACTTTTTGTAGATGGTCGGGGTGATGACCTCCTCGAAGCCATACCGAACGTATTGTTTCCGGAGAAAGTCGACGAGTCGGTTGAATATCCGCGCACCATTCGGTAGGAATATGGGAGAGCCGGGGCTGTAAATAGAGCTGATGAACAGTTCCTGCTGGAGACCGAGTTTGCGGTGGTCAGGCGGTTCGCGCTTTTCGGGTTTTTGCGAGTAGAGGCGGCGGCGAGAGAGGCAGGTAGGACATGTCCATGGTCGTTTTACGGAGGCTGTGAGGGCCGCCCGAGCGGTTCTTGAGCGTATCATGGCCAATTCGAGACGCAATGGCGCGTGGCGTAGCTTCGGCTCAAGATGTCTGGTCAAGATGCGACCATACAAAAAGTCGAGATCGGATGGTAGAGTCGTTGAATTCGTTGCTTCTTGGAGTCTAGCGCCCAAGGGCTGCGCGGGCTGTCAGCAGGGGTCCTGGTCCGCTATTCCTGGCGGCATCGGCATTGGCCTAACCTATGCACTGTTCGTGTAGCGGTTAAACAGCCCTATCTTCCGAGTTGAGACCATTTAAGGTCTTTTGCATGAATTTGTAAGTTTTGTAACGAGGGGTCTTTAGTTTCAATAAACAGTAAAGAATAATGCCTCTCTTGGATTATCAGACTGAGCAGGAAAGGTTCACCAGACCATACATTGATCCATGCCTGAGCTGAAGCATTCAAGTACTTTACCGTAGGGCTACCTACCTAACGAGTAGGTACTTAGTGAAGGACCAGTGTTGGCGCAAACATAATAGTTTCACGACAAAGAAACCAGGGTTACACACTGTAGTGAGCACAAGATATTCAGCCCTCAACACCCTGAAAAGATCAAAATGCAAATTTGTATCTGAATGGTCGACCAACACATCTCCTGCCATCTCCCGTTGTTGTGGCCTGGGGCTCCCGTCGTATTTTACCCCTCCACCTTCCAAACAGGCGTTGGTATCCGCTGAACCCCGCCAAAGCAAACAACTGCCTAGGACCCAACATCCATCCATCGTCGACTAGCCAAAATCCACAAGCCATCTTCATACTCTCCGCTCTTCACAAGGATAAGCCGTCTTGGGACATTCCTGACCAACACCTGCGTGGCTGGCCTCTGCGAAGACCTCCCTCTGTGGCTCCCACGGACATCAGCCGCAGCCGCAGCCGCCGGCTCCAACCATGAGCTTCGCTATCGAGGTTCCCGGCGATGCGAACCCGCTGACCCTGCAGTCGCTCTACCAGACGCTGCAGTCCGCCACTTCGACCGACTATGCGCAGCGCCAGACGGCGGGTCAACAGCTTACATCATGGGAGCTTCAACCAGGCTACTACTCCTCGTTGCAGGCGAGTCCATTCCGGTTCCAGAGACCTCATTCTCCAGATACTAACCGTCTGACAGGCAGTCTACCTCGACAAGTCTCTCGCCGCCGAAGTTCGCTTCCTCGCAGTAATCCAGCTCAAGAATGGCATCGATCGATATTGGCGGCTATATAACCAAGTCAAGAACAGCATCAAGCCGGACGAGAAGAACCTGATACGCTCGCGGTTGTTTCAGGGCACCATCGACGAGGAGCACTCAAATCTCGCCCTGCACAATGCCCTCGTGATCGCCAAAGTGGTTAGGATCGACTATCCGACCGAATGGCCAGATGCTATGGGAAGTATTACTGAGCTGCTCCGCTCGTCTCGAAATGGCAACCAGAAGCATCTCCAAGGCACACTACAGATCCTGCTTCGTGTGGTCAAAGAGTTGGGAACGGCTAGGATGCGAAAGAGTCAGACCGCTCTCCAGTCCGTCACGCCTGAAATCACCCATGTCCTGTCAGAAATTTACGCAGAAAAGTCCACAGCATGGGTGGGCTTTCTCAACGGTGGCGCAGGAACGAGTGATGAAGCAGACCTTGCCATGCTCAACAGCTTGTTTGCGCTCAAGGTGCTCCGTCGACTCGTGATTATGGGATATGAGCGACCTCACGGCGAAAAGACGGTTTCGGACTTTTGGACTTTGTCACAAAATCAGTTTGGCCAGCTGCTCAATTTCGTTAGCCACGACTCGACGATCCCGGCCAGCTACCAAGATGTTGTTGGCAAACACCTCCTCCAGTTTACCAAGCTACACATCGACATGGCGGAACAGCATGCCGCTAGTTTTGCCTTCCTTCCGGACTCGCTCTCCCTGGTAAATGCGTACTGGGATCTGGTTGCCAAATTTGCCGAGGTCTTTGACCAGTCAGGGGGCATTCGACAAGGACCAGCAGAGGCGGGCACGGCCAAGTCCAAGGTTGAGGGTCCTGTCTTGGAGAGGCTGGCTCTCAAGGGTCTTCTCCTTCTTCGAGCATGCGTGAGAATCGCGTTCCAGCATGTTCAGACCTTCAAGTGGAGAAGTCAGGAAACCAAGGCCGAGCAGGAGCAGGCCAGTCTGCTTGTCAAGACGGAACTGCTCAAGCCCGATCTTGTGGTTCAGATTGTCAACTCGATTATTACACACCTGCTCATCTTCCGCAAGTCTGATCTGGAAGGGTGGGAAGAAGACCCTGAGGAATGGGAACAACAGGAACAGAGTGAAGGAAATGCCTATGAATGGGAAGTGCGGCCGTGTGCCGAGAAGCTCTTCCTCGATCTTCTTACGCACTACAAGGATCTTCTGGTGCCACCTCTGTTGTCATACTTCCAGAGTGCTCAGAGTCCCCAGGCAGACATTGCTACCAAGGAGGCTGTGTACACAGCAATGGGTCTGGCAGCTGCTCACGTACACCACGTCTTTGACTTTGATGCTGTACTAGCCTCGACTATCGTCAACGACGCTCAGCAGCAAGGGCCGTTGTGCAAGGTGTTGCGACGGCGGATCGCAATTCTTGTGAGCCAGTGGGCTCCTGTCAAGCTGGACGATGCCAGCCGGCCTATAGTTTACCAGATTTACCGCCATTTCCTCAACCCTGACGATGAAATAAACGACCTCGTTGTCAGAATCACGGCGGCTCGACAACTACGCTGGATCGCCGATGAACTTGACTTTTGCGTCGAGGCATTCCTGCCCTATACGTCTGATGTCCTTTCGCAACTCATCAATCTGGTGCAGAGTGTCGATGTGGACGAGACCAAGCTGGCAATTCTCGAGTCGATTCGAATATTGGTGACACGCATGGAAGAGCAGGTGTCGCAATTTGGAGACCAACTCATGTCTGCCCTCCCTACGGTGTGGGAGAATTCTGGGGCTGAAGAATACATGATTAAGCAGGCCGTGACGTCGATTTTTGCTGCTCTTGTCATGAGTATGGGACCAAGTTCTCAGCGATATCAACATTTCATGGTGCCTCTGTTGTCTGAAGCAGCTCGCCGGGGGTCAGACTTGCATCTTCACTTGATTGACGAGTCGCTTGAGCTGTGGAACAACATCCTCATGCAGAGCAACGCTCCTCTGGCTCCCGAGGTGGTTAATCTAGCCGAGTTAGCCCTCCCACTTCTTGACTATGACAGCGAGACAGCCTCTTTGGCCCTCAGTGTTGTTGAGTCATATATCCTCCTGTCTCCTGCATCCATGTTGGAGGACCGACTACGCCGTCCGACATTGAGTGCGCTTTCAGGCGTTTTGGATTCGAGAAGCCGAGAACAGGTTCGACTTGGCACAATCTGCGTTGAGAATCTCATTAGAGCTGCGGTGGAACTTGGTGGCTCGACTGGAGTGTCGTATATCCTGCAGGACATGGTCGAGATTGGGTTCATGAAGAAGCTCCTTGAGAACCTACACAATGCATGGGAAGCGCACCAAACCACAGGACCGAATCGAAAGGTCAGCAAGCTCAGCACAGTGACCGAGAACGACTACTTTGCTATTCTGGGGCGGCTCGCACTGGCCGAGCCCACGCTCTTTACTCAGATGCTCACCAACATGGGTTCTCTGGACCAAGTTTGGGGCTGGCTCACCTCGGAGTGGTTCTCACACCTCTCGAGCATGGACAATATTGAGCGACAGAAGCTGTACCTATTGGGTCTCACACGACTTCTGGAGCTGCCATCGCCAATGCAGGAGCTTGTCCTGAGCAAGCTTCAGGACTACTTCGACATGTGGATCAATGTGATTTCAGAGTTACAAGACGGCGTGGCTAACGGCACCGACACGCTCATCTGGGGAGCGCTGGAGCCGAGCGAATATGATACCCCCAAGATTATCGCGGAACGGAATACGACTGCCAAGGACCCAGTACATACCGTTCACGCATTCGAGTTTGTAAAGATGCGACTGCAGGACCTAGTAAACCGGGTAGGCGGAGAGGCAGCGTTCCAAGAGCAGTGGGCAGTCAATGTGGACAAGGACATACTGGACAAGTTTCAGGCGATGGCGAGGGCGGTACAGCAATGATGATGACATGAGAGGGAAACAACATATTGAACGATGAGATGACCAACGTTAGTTAGAGACGGATAGGTGAGCCATATTGATATTTTAACCCTCTTGAAGCCTAAGGGTACTCTTTCGACGACTATACATGGAAACAAAGATATCCTCTATCAAGCATCTATCTACATCTACAGCTTTCTACAGCTTGCTTTGTCCCTCTTCGGGTATCTTGACGACGACCTTGCCCCAGGTGCCACGCCCTCCTAGAGCCTTCAGGGCAGGTCCAATGCTCTCCAAGCCTACAAACTCTTGGTCTGTATACTCGGTGCCCTTAATCTTGCCCTCCTTAACGAGATCCATGATGCCCTGCCAGACCTTGGGTATCATTTCCCTCTGGTGGATCGAGTAGGCGCCCCAGTGAAGGCCAACAAGGGAGATGTTCTTGAGCAGGACCTTATTCATGGCCACCTTTTCAATCTTGCCGGCGGCGAAGCCAATAATGAGAATGCGGCCGTTCCAGGCGGTGCACTTTGTCGAGAGATCGACGAGGCCCACGGGGTCGTAGACGATGTCGACTCCGCGAGACTTGGGCGTCAGGGCCTTGACCTTGGCGGGCCACGAGGGGTCGTTGTAGGAGACGGCGTGGTCAGCGCCGAAGGACTTGGCAATGTCGAGCTTGTGTTGGGTTGAGGCTGTGGCGATGACGGTTGCGCCAAAGGCCTTGGCGACTGGTAGATGGTCAGCTTTGATCACGGTGGTCTCTGTATAGGGGCTTTCTTACCTTGAACTGCTGCGAGACCAACACCTCCAGCAGCGGCATGGACGAGCACGTAATCACCCTTCTTGACGCCTGCTCTCACGGCCAGAGCTCCATAGCTCGTCGGTGCTGTGACAAACAGACCAGCCGCCTCTTGAAACGACCATCCATCTGGAACAGGAAGAAGGGACTCCTCAGGGGCGCAGAGCTTAGTCGCAAAAGCACCCTGCGAAGCACCAAAGACGCGGGAGCCAGGCGGGAACTTGGGGTTGGGATTGTTGCGAGGAGCGGAGATGACGGTCCCTGCAAACTCGGCGCCAGCGACCCAGGGGAAGGCTTTTGAATAGTCAGCTCGCAATCCTTATCAAGGGATGAGTTCAGTTGAGATGCGATTACATACGAGGCTGGTTCTGGTATTTGCCCTGGATCTGGAGAATGTCAAAGAAGTTGGCGGCGGCGGCGTGGACCTGGATGAGATAGGCGTCGTCTTTGGGGGTCGGATCGGGGAGATCTGATACTACGAGCTGATCAGGGCTCTTTTTTTGCTGTCAGTTTGTTTTTTGAGAAGCAAGGTTGGATACGTTGTTGTTTACCTTGAGGTATTCTTTGATCTGGATGCCACGCATGATGGGCGGAAGAGAAGGGTTCAATTAGATGTTGACTCAAGCAGAAAGAAAGACTGAGATAGGTTGAGATATAGATACAAGATTAAAATCAAGATATTCAAAAGATGATTGAAAGTGAGAGTTGATACAATTTCATCTCGGATCGCTGACGTCGGTACTTTATCCCGGGGAAAGCTTGGATCTTGAGTTCGCGGGGGAGTGACATGAGCCGAGGCATCTTCCCCATTGAGGCGCCACCCCCGGATTTGACGGTATCAGAGTGGGGATGGAGATTGGGGTAGCAACCGAGGCCATCATGTCTTGTCTCGTTGATCCTTACTAACCGACTAATAATTATTGATGCTACTTGTTTATTATAAGTGATTTATATTTAATATAGTGAATGTCGATCAAACCTGTGCTGTTGGTACATAGTGAGCCATCACCTACAAGGCTCTGCACATGCGTTTCCCTCACTGACAAGGCACCACATCACTGTCAAGGCCATGCCATGACAACAGAGGAACAATAGAATGCACAATGACTGATAATCTGAGAAAACAATCCAAATTACCCATTTTCAGAAATAATGATCCACTATTAGGCAGACCATTGATTGTTTGCTCTCACTTTTTATCTTCCCTTTTGGGACATTTCGACGTGAATACAACAAGCATGAGTGACTACAATAGTGAATGGACTTTCAACAACTACAAGACTCTCTTCTTTCGCCAACTCCTCTCTCTTCCTTTCTTTCTCCTCAACACGATTTCTTCTTGAATCCTTCTCTTTTCACCGGCTTCTGCCCAAGTCTACATTCATCAACGCTCTTCTCCCACATCGACATACTCTTCTTTCCACCCACTCCGTTCCCTCCACCACATCTGGCTTGACCTCGCCTACAACTCTACATTCCCAAGATCTTCTTCCCCCACAGCATCCCTCTAAAGCAGCATGTCCGCTCCCATCTCTCGAAAGAGAAGACGTCTCATCGATGACGACCCCAAGTTCCGGGCTCAAACGCGAAGACGACTCTTGACCCAGCGTGGTCGTGATGAGGCACTCCGATCACACCAGTGCTGGCCGTGCCTATATCGTGAGATTAGGCTCAACAATTCTCGACTCTTAGACGTCGAAAAGGATCTCCCCACAGCACGAATCAGTTTCCCCTGCGTGAGGGACCAGATTGGCAGTACCTCGTGTCGACACTGCCATGACAACGACCACACTTGCGATGAGTAAGTCGGCGATATTTCTATTACTACTTACTCTTACTTACTCATAAATTTAGTGGACTTGGAATATTAGTCGGAAATAAATTCGACGTCGTGAAGCTAAATGCCTTCATTAACGACACCGTCAGGATCCATGCCCCAGACAGTGCGGTGCCCGACGACGAAGACGACGAATGCGCATACCTTCTGCCTCGTCCTGTTCAACGATGCCTTGTCCTGGCGAGTATAAGACTCGGAAAGGCATTTGAGACAATTGTATCATGCCACGAGACAGAGCATGGCTTCGACAGGAGGCGAAGTGTATGACGATACCACCGCGACTACTATAGAGCATAACTAACTTGGAACAGAAGAAGAGGGAGAGGCGTTACGCCCGTCTCGTCACCCAACACCGCCGTGAGATTGCACGACACCTGTCAGAGGACCAGGTACACAGCCATCTTCTATCACCAACATGATCACCACTAATGCTTCGAGTAGGACCAAGCCCAAGGGAACTAGAAGTCCCGCCGGCTCCCTCGCCTTCTTCCTGGTGACCGCCAGTGGAGCGCTTGGGGCAGCGCCATTGAGGCTTTCCACCGCGAGGTTGCCGAGTCCTTTCAGGGCAGCAGTGTCCCTGCTAGAGTCCAAGAAACCATCATCTCGCAAATCCCAGTCAAGCGAGAAGACGAAGGCCAGGAGAGGGACGCATACGCCGACATGATCAGGCTTGCAGCTGAGGCTGACTAACCGATCGTTTAATCTTAAAGGTCCTTTTTTTTTTTATCACTTAGGTAGCTATTATTTTATGTAATTATGATGCTTCGCTTCTCAGTATCAGAGAGTATCAGTCACACAGTACCTAAGCAAAGAACACAATAACACATAACGGCATTGAAGCACAATGTCACAGATTACTATCATACGGTCTAAACAATCATCTCTTATCTCGTGACTATGGTATTCTCTAAAAATTATCGTTCGGATGGTGGAGGTTATATCCAGTCAAAAGGCCCAACGGCTTTCACACTGCCAACAATCATCCACTACTGGCCTCCAGTACTATAGACCAAACAAACAATTCATCTCATCAACCATAGCAGACACAAGGTCATTCTCGTTTTACAGTATTCGAATGGGGTACAATGTATCTGATTACTGTACATGCCCAGCCCTGAGAGGAGAATGCTTTCAGTCACAGCCAATGTTTCATGGATATATAGACACCAACACCAATGCTACCACGGACACCCTGCTCAGACTTGATATCATAAACGTCGTATTATTACGTTCGAGGTATGCTCCATCGTTGTCTCGCACATCCCCACGCCAGACTGCATTGCTCAACCTGTCCGGACTGCTTTCTACAACGACAACATCGTGACGCCTTGCTGAACGACATGTCCAGCCGTCAAAGGGCCAAGACCACAAAATCCAACCATCAATCGATCCTCACTCAGCCCGAAAGGAGGTGCTCGATCGCTCCCTGCACGCTTCCGCCGCTTCGTCGCAGGGCCGCCACGTTTCTATCAAAGTCAAAGAACCCCATGTCGTTGAGCTGACGCAACTGCTCGGCGTAGCGCTCCTCAGGGGGCCGGTTGTCAGGAGGCGCAGCTGGAGAAGAGCCTTGGCCACCAAACATCGACAACATCTGCTGCATCATCTCAGGGTTCATGCCAAAGGGGTTGTTGGCTTGGGCGCCTCCAGCAGGAGGGAAGAGTGCGGCAAAAGGATTCGCGGGAGGTGGTGGGCTGGTAGTTGAACCCTGCTGAGCATTGCCTTGGCTGGGGGTGGTGCCAGAGGTGGGCTGGTTGGTTGTGGTGCCTTGGCTAGGCGTGGTCCCTGTTGCCGTCTGACCTGTCGCAGTCTGAGTCTGGCCTTGGCTGGGAGGAGCACCAAAGGGCGATAAGCCCATGTTGCTGAGGGCTTGAAACTGCTGCATCAGCGCCGCCATGTTGGCTTGGTTTTCTCCTCCTTGCTGACCGCCCATCAGGCTTGACAAGAGAAGGGGGTTCATGAGGGAGCTCTGGTTGTTGGTTCCCTGAGCATTGCCTCCAGGCGCAGTTCCCTCGGGTGTCGTGTCGGTAGCTCCAGGCGCAGGGAAAGCTCCCTCACCTCGCATGCTCCTCTGCATGCGCATAGCCTGAGCCATGGCCTCGGGACTGGACATCATCTGTCGCATCAAGGGCGACGATATAATCTCTCTCGCGTTGGGGATGTTTCTGAGCATCGGGTTCGAGTCAATCAGCATGTTGACGAAATCGGGGTTGTTGAGGGCCTCGTTCATCGACTGTTGGATGTTGGGGTCAGACATGATACGCTGGATGTTTGCCTCATCCATAGGAGCGCCCATCTAGATGCTGATTAGCAGAGGGACCTTGAAGGAGAAACAGGAGCAATGTTAAACATACGCCACCGTCGGGTCCAAACATGTCGAGGCCAGGTAGGCCGTTGCCAAAGCCAGCATATCTGGCCCCCGTCAAGTTGGCAAAAGGCTGGTTGGCGGTGCCCGAGGCCATGTTGGCGGGGGCGGGAGTGGATGTGGATGTGGCGGCGGGGGTAGAGGCAGCCTGGTTGGGCTGCTGATTGCTGGCGGCACTCTTGACCATGTGGATGGTGTTGTTGTGCTTGATCTTGTAGGTGCTGAGGGCATCGTCGTTCTTCATGACTCGGCCAGAGTAGATCAGGCGCTGGCGCTCGACGGCAATGTTCTCCAAGTCCTCGCCGGCGAGCTTGGTCTTGAGGTCGAGGACGGTCGCGTTCTCGGACATGGTGATGACGTGGGTGCTATCAGACGACGTCTTTACCTTGAAGGTGATTTGAGCGTCGCCGCTCGACTCGGCGTTGTCGGCCATGGTGAGGGGAGGCGAGATGTTGACACACACGGCGCAGCGCAAGGAGTGGAGGTGATTATGTGAGGCGATGTCAGGAGTGCGCGGAGGCCGTAGAAGAGTGGCAGCTGCGGGAGCGGTTTGCTATCGCGCTACTCGATATGTATGTGAGATGCTGCGGGAGAGAAGTTTCTCGTGGTGAGGCGAGGCGAGGCGAGGTTACGGTTGCCAAGTCGGCCGAAGGTGGTGGTTTCCAGGCGGCGACACAGACAAGCGAACATGTACTGGCGGGAGGCACTACAGCCGGCGGCGGTGTCGTGGGGCAGACTGCACTGCCAATGACGCGCGAGGGTGGAGAACCTTGAAGGAAGCAGATGCTATAGAAACCAAGGCGCTGAAGATGCGCGGGACTGGAGTCAGTTCGTTTGTGATAAGTGATAATTAGTGATTATCGTCGATTTTCGTGAGAGAGAGGTGAAGGCATAAACATGTTCCTCAGGCCCAGGTAAGGACAGTTTGACTCTCTTGTGAGGCTATTGATAGTCTCTTCCATTGCGATCCATCACCTTCTATCGCCAGATTGCTTGTGACAAAGCTAGATGCAAGCCCTGTTACAACATGATAGGGGCAAATGCGCATACCAAAACAACCATACCACGATAAAAGAGATAATTATACACAGTAATAACCCCGCCAATGGGGTCATCCTATCCTCAATGCCAACAGAATGAAGATCCAACCCATCCAGTTGCATGGTCTAGGGTAGCCAACTTTGGTAGATATCCATGGCGGGGCGCTACTGTCACTCTCAGTTCACTGAACCAATACGCACCCATCGCTGAATGAGACGATAACTTCACATCAACATCTCCAACCATTCAAAACGTACAAAGCTATCGTATACCCCCAGAAGAATAGTAAATAAGGGAGATACGGCATTTGACAATGCAATAAGTCTGGATCATTTGTAAGCGCAACTATTTCGACTTCATTCGAAAACAAGGACATGATCAACACCAGACGATGAGCCCACAGCCATCATGATCCAAGGCATCTTTTACGCCAGGTTCTTCCCCCAAGAGGGTAACTCATCTCACAAACTCGCAAACAACTGAACCCCTCTCTAACACCGCCCACAGGCCCCAAGATTGTCGCCCAGTCCCCCGCTGGCTGCATCACCCCCGTCGACAGCTCAACCAAGGCGCCCCTCATCGACTTTGACGTGCTGCACGAGTACATCATCCCCCGCCAGGCCTTTTGCAACCGCTACCTCACCATCAACACCCCGGACGGAAAGTACACCGTCCTCGGCCACCCCGTCGTCATCCCCCACACAAAGTATCTGCGCAACGAGTTCATCTTTAACTTTGGCCTCGTCCTCGACGCTGATGTCGACCATGTCCCCTATGAACGCGTCGTCCGCGGGTTAGCTTCGACTTTTTCCGAGATGGAGAAGCAGAATGAGTATTTGAGTCAGAATGCTGAGACTAAAGGCCCTGGGAGGAGGCCTATTGATAGTTTGCTTGAGATTGTCAAGGAGGATCTTGATAATTATGGAGAGTGCATGATTCCAGTTGGTATGTCAAACAACCTCAAAACACACAAAGATATAAACTCACAAGTCAACAGATGAAGCCAACACCATCAACATGAAGCTCTTCCCTCATCACGTCGACCCTCCCCGCGTCCGGGGCTGGCACGTCCCTGTCCCCAAGACCAAGTTTGCAGACATTGTTGACCCAACCTGGGATCTCACCCTTCAAAAGGTAATCTCTCACATAGACGGCGTGTCTGATGTCCGCCGTATCGCCCATGCTGCCTCGGTCTCGCTTGAGCTCGCAAAGACGGCTCTGCGCCACCTTCTCTACTACGACACCATCCTCCTTCTTGACATGTTCTTCTTCTCCGCCTGCTACGCCCCGCGCCCGGGCATCCACGACTTTATCCGCAATGTTGACGGTATGGTCGATGAGTGTGCTGCATATGTCTCCCATGGCCGGGGCCGTGTCAGCAACTATCACCTCATCAAGCTCATGTCTACCTTTGCGCCGGGAAGAACCGTCATGGAGTGGCTCAAGGGCCATCAAGATGCAGGCTTCGAGGTCCTGCGATTCGTCGATGTCCGCAGACTCGTTCAGTTCGGCGTCATCAAGGGCTGCCTCTACCGTGTCCACAAGTTTGTCGTCTCCAAGCAGTACCTCGCTGCCTTGGCCTCTGGCCAGAGCCGACCAATCCCTGGTGGAGACCCTCTGCAGAAGTACACTGATGGTTGCCATCACTTTGACCAGATTATCACGGAGCAGAATTTGACGGATAGCGAGATTATGGAGAAGCTCAAGAAGTTACCAGTTCCAAAGGGAGACCTGGTCGTCTTCTACCGATAAACCGAGAACCAGCGTTTTGTACTCATGAGTTATTTATTTTACATCACATCTCATCTATGGTATCATGCAGATTACAGTAATGTACAGCGTCATCTTACACGGCTTGAATACCCATCCAAGCCAGTTCGTCCATTTTTCTTTCTTTTACCGCCTGTAGTTGGAGTTGACCCGGTTGCGCTTACGATATTCCTGCTTGTTGGGTAGCTCGATGTTTGGGTTATTGGCCACGCGGAGCTTGTTTCCGTTGGAATACCTGTCGAGTGCAATCTCGGCGAGTTCATCATCCTTGAGCTTCTTACCGTCTTCCGCTGCCTCCCTCTTAAGTGCGTCCTTCATCCTGCGCATGACACCAGTGAAGGGCTGGCCAGGGTAGATCTGGCCGCTGGCCTCCCACTCCTCGTCGGGGATGAGCTCCACAATGCGCACATTGTGCTTTCCCTTACGTAGGATAAGCATGCAGTCGTCGATGAGGAACTTGGACGTCTCCTCTGGGAACCAAGCTTTCATCGGCGTCCAAGACAGGTTACCGGGAACAAGACCCCTCTTCTGGCCCGGCTGAGCGGCGATGTAGGCACCCTGCTGGCTGAGAAGTCGCTGGCCCTCGCTGCTGCTGGAGGCAAGACCCGAAGCGAAGAGGATCTTGGCAGGGGAGCTCTGCATGATGGAGCGAGGGAGCTTGATGTCGCTCCTGGGGGCGTTGTTGGAGGTGACGATGCCAGTCTCCTCAGTTGGCTCATTGACGACGGAGGGAAGCTTGCCGCCGAACCGGAACTCGTGCTGCTTGGCCTCCTGGAGCGCCTTTTGTGAGCCGTGAATGAGCGAGACGACCTCAAAGGCAAGAGTGTGCTGCGCGACTCGTTGCTGGGGGTTGACGCGGTGCTGCTCCATGGTCTTGGTGATACTCTCCAGGGGCATAAAGGTGAACAGCTTGAGCAGCCTCTCCACCTCTTCGTCCGACCGTCGAACAAAGTACCCGTATAGATCGAAAGCTGACGTCTTGAACTCGTCCAGCCAGATGGCGTTGCCAGCACTCTTGCCAAACTTGGCACCCGAAGAGTCGGTCAGCAGGGGAACGGTGAAGCCCATGGGCTCATACTCCCAGGTGGTGGGCATCTTGAGGTGAGGCGCCTCCTCAGTGTCGCGGATGGTCTTGAGGGCGTCGATTCCGGCGGTGATGTTGCCGTACTGGTCGGAGCCTCCGATCTGCATCTGGATGCCGAGCTTGTTGTACATGTGCCAAAAGTCCCAGCCTTGGAGGAGAGGGTAGATGAACTCGCCCAGGGACATGCCGTCTCCCTCGGTCATCTTGCGCTTTACACTGCGAATAGTTAGATGTGTGCTTCAAACGATCTGAGATGGAACTTACGTCTCCTTGCCCAGCATGGGCCCAATTCTGGTATGTCTGGCTATCCTCTTGGCAAAATCGTATAGGGTGAGGCTTCCTAGCCACATATTGTTGTTCAACAAGTGATGCTTGGCAGCCCAGTCCTTCTCGTAGCCGTACTTTATCCTCAGGTGCTGGACGTTTGTCCATAATTTCGTCAGCTGCACGTGCATCTTTGTGATGTTCTTTGAGATTTCCGAGTTGGTTATAAGCTCGCGGCTCTCGAGTCGGCCTGTAGGGTCGCCAATTCGAGCGGTCGAGCCACCGATCAAGGTGACGGCGGGGTGGCCATGGAACCACAACAAGAACAAAGGCATCAGAGGCAGCAGGTGGCCGACGTGCAGAGAGTCGGCTGTAGGGTCGATTCCGACGTAGGTGCCTATCCGCTTAACTCGCATAATCTCCTTGATCTTCTCGGGGTCTCTGACCAACAAGTTAGGTCACATCCATGTACACCAGGCGCATTCTGACATACCCTGCTACGTCCTTGATATAACCTCGTTCCTGCAGGATATCCCAGACGTGTGGAATCTCCCCATTCTGAATCTTGTCGCCCCTCTCTTTCCATCTTTGTTGGCCTGCGGCGACCTGGATAAGATGTGATGTTGCGACACCTCGAACTTGGAAGCTTATGAGGAGGGGTCTCTGTCGGTCGAGAGACGTCGGACGGATGAGGGGTCTCGAAGGCGCGAGCCTGGAAACGGCGAGGCGGGACGCCATGGCTGTGAATTGGAGTTTCGAACCCAATTGCCTCGTCCTGGCTAATTGGAAAGGAACGAATGGTAGAAACACCAAGAATTGAACATTAACTATCCCACTCTTCCTATGATGGCTCCGAAGCCGCCGTCTAAAAAAATTCCCACGCGATATCGAAAGTTTAACCAATCACAGGCATCCTCGGAACCACCATCGGAGAAGTATTGTTGCGTCCCGACTCATCCGGCTTCACGGCCTTGATCGGAATGCAGCCGACCAATCACGAGGCTTGCAATTCGAGATCCTCGGCAATTCCTCCGACTCAGGTTTACAGCAACTCGAGAATCCCATACATCATCATCAACCTCACCACCCTCCTCCCACGCCCTCGATACAGCCAACCCAATTGAGCGCCGCCGACCGCATATTCAATTCACCATGGCCTCAATTGTGCGTCCCTCTCTGCTCAGGCAGACCGCCCTGGCTTCTCGATGGGCCGCTGCCCCCTCCGTCGCGACCCGAGGCGTCTTCATGAAGCCCATGGGTGTTGCTGCTTTCCACAACTCTGCCCGACGGAGCGCCATTCTCCCTCCTGGACCTCGTGAGTTCCCCAGTGCTAATTCCATACGTTTCTTGTACTGACATGTTTTGCAGAGCGAATCCAGGGCGGCGGTATGATCTCCAAGTCGTATACCGGCTTCACATGATAAACTGACACTCTCTCACAGTCAACGACCCTGCCCCCGTTCCTGAGCCCAGCGCCGCCCACGGTTCCTACCACTGGTCCTTCGAGCGCCTCCTCGCCGCCGGCCTCGTCCCCCTGACCATCGCCCCCTTCGCCTCTGGCTCCCTCAACCCCACCCTCGACGCCATCCTCTGCAGCGTCCTCCTCCTCCACTCCCACATGGGCTTCCAGCAGGTCGTCATCGACTACATCCCCAAGCGCACCTACGCCGGCCTCCGCAAGATCTTTGACTGGCTGCTCAACATCGCGACGGTGATTGTCGGCGTGGGACTGTACGAGTTTGAGACCAACGACGTCGGCATCACCGAGGCTGTTAAGCGAATTTGGAAGGCATAAGGGGATGAAGTAAAGTGATGTGATGGGCGTGTATGTGTTTGAGGGTGGTGTTACTTGTCGAGCAGGTAAAAAATGGCTGCAGGCAACTGTATAGAAATTTCCTTTGAGTTAAGCAAAGATTGACGATTCTTGCACAACAACACACTTGTCCCCCTGAGAGTTGTGAGTGTCACAAGGATTACCTGTTGGCGTAAACAACAGCTTTCTTAGTGACATCTAATTCACCACTGAGCTCTGACATCTTTAATTCCTCGGTAGACCTCGGCCGAGATAGTAAGAAGCTTTGGCCAAGCTTGATAGCGAGCGAAATATCCCGACTCTCATGTGTAAGCCGTTGACAGAGCTTAAGCTTGCTCCAAGACCGATTGAATAGTCAAGTTACATACCTCATTGTCAATAGGAGCTGTGCCATGTGAACCGTCTGACAGTTGTAGACTTGGCCTACGGAGCACAAACTTTCATTCTTCAGGAGAGCTGCAGCGCGCCTGGACTTGGCGCTGAGCCAACGACCGAGACATGCACACCATGATAAATGCAGCATCTAAACATTGCGAGGGGAAAAGCATTAGCAACTTGCGATAAATCAGTTTTATTCTCTTGCTTGCTTGTATGTAATTATTCCTTTCTTTGTTTTGGTCCCCAATGAACTCATGCGAGAATTGAGATGACACTCATATCCACCTCCCACTCCCCCAGAGCCGCCGTACAGAGGCTCAGAACACTCACACGCTCAAATAGTCAGAGAAGTAATCTCAGAGCCTCCGGCCCTGTCCATCTCTGGAGTAGGAGGAGGAAGGTTCTCGGACTTGGTGCAGATCCAGCAGCTGGCATACATGTTCACACGATCGATGCAGGCACCGTCAGTTCGGGCCCCGTGTCTCTTGGGCGTGAAACCATGAGCCTCAAACTCCTTGATGTACCAGGGGGTCAGGGCCGAAGAGCGCAGGAGCACACGGCCGCCCATCTGAAGCGCCCGGTTGAGCTTGGTGATCTGTTGGGCGGCAGCACGAGAGCCAGTGTCGAACCAGTCCATGCTGTCCATGACGACGGCAACAGTCAGCGTACCAGGTGTGATGCGGGCAATAACCTCCTCAAGCTCATCGGTGTGGATGCGGAGACCATCGAGAGCATTGGGACGTGAGAGCTTGGCATGCGCCTTGGGGCTGAGGTAGTCGGGGTGGCACTTGGGCGAGAACTTGCCATCCATGCAGACATAGTAGTAAGGGTTATCGGCGGCGATGTGAGTCTCCTCAGCAACAGGGTCAAGCGTGTTGACCATGTAGTGCCAGATAGCGTGGGAGCGAGTGTTCTTGGCACGGGGCTTGGGTCCCTTGACCAGGTCAGATTCAGCGTGGTCAGCTTCGATCATGGCCAGTTGGTTCTTGGGGACACCGAGAGCAGCCCAGAGGAAGCTCTCCTGAGAGACAACCAGGTTGCAGACTAGCTTAGACAGAAGGGCAGGGCGAATCTTTCTGCGCCAGATCTCTCGCTGCTCATTGAGGGTCTTGGCCTCGAGGAGCTGCTTGACAGCCTTTTGCAGTCCAAAGATGCGGGCAATCCAGCGGAAGACACGAATGGCGTGACGCGAGCCACCGGTGTCGTACAGACCATAACCACTGCTGTTCTGGAAGACATGAACATTCTTCAACCAATACTGGAAAGCACGGCCAGAAAGGTGAGGGGACAGCTTGGTGATAAGGAGCTTGCGGAAGTGAGGGTGCTTGCCGTCACCAAAGATCTTCCAGAAATCCTCGTAAGGCAGTGCAGTGTAAGATGCGGCCTTGAGCTCGAGCAGGTGGTTTTGTGTGGGGTTCAGGTCAACAGCGTGTACTCTGGCAGGGCTCTGCAGCAGGTAGGACAGGATGTTGTCTCCAGCCGAGGTGATAGCAAGAACCTTGTCATCGGCACCAAGCTTCAGGAGGCGCTCGTCCACACGGGTGTCTTCCCAGGTGAAGGCATAGATGTACTCATCCTTGAACTGCGTGTGCTTGGCCAGCTGGTCATCATAGTAGATACGCCAGTGGTGGTTCTGGTAGAAGAAAGAAGGGAGGGGGAGGTTGGAAGACAGGTTCTGCACAGCAGTGAGGAAGGCCTTGGAACGGATCTCAGGAGCAGATCGCTCAATGGCTCGGGTCAGAGCATCTCCCTGGTTGGCGGGGTACAGGTAAGGGGACTCAGTGACCAGAGCATCGATGCGCTCGACAATCTCATGGGGAAGACTGGACGACGAGAAGGGCTTCTTGTGGCATCCGAGCCAGATGTAGTAGGGGATAGCTCCCAGGCCGTTGTTGCGAGTGTTGACGTTGAGGAGGGTGCCGAACTTGTACTCGAGGTAGTCTCTGCGACTGGGCTCGAGGCCAACGCGGTCAAGATCGAACCAAGAGCGCCAGAAGCTTCGCGATAAGAAGTTGACATGACGATCGACGAGACCACCTGTGTAGTTTCGGAAGGCAAAGTCAACCTTGTTCTGCACATAAAAGTCCACGACACCCAGAATGCCCTGGGGGGCCAGCAGTGAGGTCACAGAGTCGATAACCGAATAGTAGTCAGGCTAATGCTCAATGTTAGTGTTGCTCAAACTGAACTGTCATCTATCGCTTACAATCATAGACAAGCTGTAAGACATGGTGATGAGATCAGCTCCACCAAAGTCCGGGCGAGGCTTATCAAAGTAGCTCAACGCCGGAGAGCGAGGAGGGATAGGCTTGGAGGCCATGCCAGACTCGTAGTCCTCAAGACGGAACTTGCGAGCGTCCTCACAAACGACCTTGACATTCTTCCAACCAAGTCGTTCAAATCGCTTTCTAGCCACCTCGCAAAGAGAGGGAGAAAAGTCAACGAGGTATACGCTCGAGAAGAAGGTGGGCACGTCGACGAACGCGGCCATGGCCTCAATATTGAAGCCAGTTCCGCCACCAATCTGTAAGGGCAAGCGTCAATGGGTGATCCGGTACACACAGGCTCTGAGAGGACTCACGTCGACCCAGATTTGCTTGTTCTTTTTGCCGCTCTTGGGAGCAGCATCCTTCAGCTTGGCCTCAAGCTGAGCGGCGACAAGCGCCAGCATGTCCTCGCGGCCGCGGAGGAGCACCTTTCGGGTAGCATCATAAGCCCCGGCCTGCTTCTTGTAGAAGCTCTCGAGGGCATCCTGCTGGTTGCCCTTTGAGTCGCCCTGGTGGGGTTTAAGGAAGGAGGAGTAAAAGAAGAGGAAGAAAGACTTGAGTAAGCCCGGGGCTTCGTCCTGACCCTTGCTGGAGAAGATGGAAGTGAGGCAGAGAGTGCTGAAAGCTGCCGCCACGACACCGGCCAGAAGGGACTGAGCGTTAGCCAAGGACAACATGTTACCACCCTAGCAGACTGGATTAGCAGGCGCGCAACCAAGCATTGCTGAATGGGAACGCACATGAGAAGCCATGGTACTCTCTCATTGTATGTCGAGAGGATTGGTGTTGAAAAAGCAGGCAAGCTGTAGAAGCAGTGTTGAAAACCGTTCACACGACCAGGTTGAAAGATGGACGTGAATCGAGAGACCGGGACACGGCGAGCCAGGGATATATATGTCGAGGCACGCGAGTTGGCTAGCCAGAGAGTCCAGCATCAACTTCAATTCGGCTGCCATGGCCGTGCCAGACTCGGCGGCACGGCTGTTGTCCGTAGTGGACGCCAGCTGTGACGCCTCGCACACGATGTTCTCAACGCCAGTCTACTTGCTCCTGCACCAGAGAGTCCCCTGTTGATCTGCCCAACCCCACCAGATAGCCATGATACCCCGCCGCAGGGTTCATGCTGAGCACGAGTGACGACGTGGGCGATGGAGGCGTGAGCCAATGGCTGGAGCACATGTTCCAGGACGGTGCAGTTTCAGGGACCTTGCAAGGCTGCGGCGGAGACGCACATGTGCCTTGCTTCGTTCGCTATGAGCGGTTGCTCTATTCTCGATAGTGTGGGTGGGGATGGGAGATAGGCACTGCTATTTACTGTATTGACGACGATCGCGGTCTCGAATGATCCTTCGAGAAGTGAATTCGTGGCATCAAGGTTAACCTTGGCTTCGAGTTCTGTTGACCTGATCCTGGACCGAATGCTGCCAAACAGGGTGATTGCGCCTCACCATTCGCTTGAACGGCGTCTTAACTTGGAAAAGAACTCGATTCAAGACGACTTTTCGTGTCATGACAAGGTATCATGGTCTCTTGTTATTCGCTGCCATGATCCATGGTTGGTGGTTGATGTTAGTCGGTTGGAAGGCTGCCCTCGTGTTATCCCAAACAGGAAACCCAACAGCCAATCAGAGAAGAGTTGTCAACCACATGTAGCAGTCAACAACCGTGTAAGGACAAGGCGAGCCATCCATTGAAGATTGGAATGAAGAGCGGTAGAGAATGACCCCGTGTTCTTCTCAGGGCAAAAGCCAATTGAGTTCTGCGGCATTTTCTCGAGCGCGAGGGCCATATCGAGGTTTCAATTGGAGCTGGAGAGTCGATGCTTGCTGGGTGAGGTGGCTAGAGGCGAATTGTGGCCAACAACAAACCCTTGAGAGGCTAGATAATGCAATTTCTGGGGTAGTGAATCTTGCGCCGAGTAAAATCGGAGTCCTCGGGCGATTGGTTGACTTGCCCTTCAACGACTGAGGTTTCGTACATCGACCGGTTCTCTCCGTAGTTAACATGCCATGATGCAACATCAACCTGATACCGAGCTAATTGCGGCACCGCGAGGCGGACGTGATGGTCAGAAAGCAGGATGGATACTACTGGCATCATTTTCAGTTACCTTGCTTCACGTGTCACAGTTGTAGGAAGTCACTCGCAGCACCGCTCTGGGCATCCTGAGCGTAGCCACCAAGACGAGCCATTCGACAACTCTCATCAGCGAGAACAGCAGAACGGGGCTTCACGTCGGCATCGGCACAGGGTGCTGTCGCGTCGAGCCGAATATGTAGATCCACTCGGCGACACAAGCGGAGTTCTTCATGCCGGGAATGAGCCCGGATCTCCACAGCTCCGACAATGGTGAGCTGTCCCAGCATCTGATGGTAGTCCTCGATCTAAAGCGAGTTGGTCATGTTGAGAAGAGCCGAGGCCGTGTCAGATGGAGAACCGACATGGGACCATATCGCCGGACTGTTTTCGCCAGACGTCATTATTCTCCGCCGAATCTATCGCCAACCGAACTCGACCAGGGAAGAGAGGGCCTTTTCACTACAAGGAGGCCGTGAACAACAGAGTAGTCGAGGTGGATGGGAGCTTGTTGGAGAATCATGACGGTGGGTAATTATTTTGCTCTTCCAGGCGTCCGATAGAGTGACAGCTCTTTGTAGTATTTCATTCCAAGTAGACGAGACTCGAATTCAATGAAGAAGTTTGTGAAGAAGACAGGCAACTGAAGCTTGGGTGGATATTCACATTCACTGCTGCGTTCCGGAGATACAGTTCTTCCGAAACATCGCGGGAAAGAGGTGCCCCTCTCGCGCTCCCGTCAGCCGACGCCACTACCAGCCAGGGGTGCCGAGTGATTGGAGCTGGAAGCGGCTCTGACGCACGTCGCATGGATCGCGCGCCTGTCGACTCCCTTTATTGTTGCTTGCCGTTGCTATTCAACAACATCTAACTTCATCATCCCCGAGGCCACGTATCTCGGAAAATCGTATATGCTCAGGCCACGCCGGCCCTCCAGATAGACACCCGTCACGATGCCGCCCGGGTCGAGCCAGAAGGGCACTGGCAAGAAGAACTCTGCCGCCATTCAGAAGCAGAGCCGCAACACGACGCCCGCCCCAGTTGCGACGGCTAGCCTACCGCCGCAGGATGTGTACGATCCGGACTATCTGAATACTCGGGTGATTCTCTTTCGCAACCTCACCTACGATGATATGGTCGATCAGTCCGCCTCCAATGCCACCATTCCCGATTCCAAGAGCCTCGATGGCATGATCGAGCGCCTAAAGAGTTTATCCAATATTATGGAAAAGCGCTCAACCTTTTACGACCGCGGAATGCGACATTTGGCCGACGAGCGCAAGAAGCGACCCGACGATTACTCTGGACGTGCCGATGGCGAACAAGAGGGGAAGCGCCCTAAACACAAGAGAAAGAAGCCTGATACGCTTGCGCCGCAGGAAGGCAACGTTGGTATGACTTCCTATGCTGTTTAGAATTTTGTGGGACAGGTGGTTGCCAGTGCCGACACCTGGCAGAAACTGCGGCTACCTGCTAGGTTGTTGAGAACTATGCTAACGGGATTTTTACTAGAACGTTCTTCTCCCTTGAGAGATTCTAAACGCAAACACGATCGCGAAGCAAGCTCCTCGCTGTCACCCGCTGCCGCCGCTTCACCATCGGCTATGGACGTCGATAACAAGGCCAAGACAGAAGCAAAGGAAGATGAGGAGTCGAGTTCCGAGGACGAGGGTGCGCCGCCCCGTCGCGAACAACCTCAAGCAATGACTTTCGGCGAGGATCCTTCCACCTTTCCTGACCCGACCGTATACGAGATTCGACCTACCTACCCCGGCATGCCAGACGAGGAGCGCAAAGAGATCTATTCGGTCGCAACATACCCCAAGTCTGATCTCGCTGATCTCATTGCGGGAGATCCGCCCGACAAGGACTTTAGCAATGCGAAGCCTAGCAGTCAGATCAACTTTACTACATTCTCGTCATACGTCGACCCCTTCTTTCGACCATTTTCCGAGGAGGACCTGGCATTTTTGCGCGAGAGAGGAGACCGGGTCACACCCTTTGTCATGCCCAAGCGCGGCAAGAGACATTACACAGAGGTCTGGGCCGAGGAGGACGGCGCAATGTCGATCGATGCGCCTCAACAAGGCCGTGATAAGCTCCCACCCAACCAACCGCGCGGAAGCATCGACAACATGGACGACGACGTGGGGGAAACGGACAAGCTATCTGTTGGTCCTTTGCTGACACGGCTGATGCAAACCCTTCGACCAGAGGCTCGCGCACAAGCTACAGAGGACAAGCCAACAACCAATGGCGCAACTAACGGAGACGTCAGTATGAATGGCGATGTCAATGGCGAAGACCATGCGGGAGGCTCCGATGATAAATCAAATCCCCAGCAACCGGCAGCATTTATGCCAGAGTCATCAACAGAGGCTTGGAAAAAGGCATCACATCCAAAGTTGGAATATTCGCAAGTCGATGAGCGCATCAAGCAGGAACTGAGGCACATTGGCTTTCTGCCTCTTGAAGGATTTGAGGCCGAGTTTGACGGGCACTATGACGACGAGGTGGCAGCGAGACTACGTCTCCTTCAGAGCCGACTTAAAGACCAGATGTTGATCAACGGCGCACGTAAAGCGCGATTGACGGAACTGGTGCGCGAGCGTATGGCTTACCAAGAATATCAGACTATCCTGGAGGATCTCGACACTCAAGTTCAGGCTGCGTATCTCAAGCGCACACGGACAATTGGCAAGAGCAAGAAAACAAAACGCCCTGGAGGCGCGGGCGGAGGCAGTCACTTTGTGGGTAGTGCCGCAGGTATGGCACGGCCGGGCATTGGGGACTTGACCAAGACGCTGATGGAGCGACGCCGACGATGGATCGACACTATCGGGTCGGTATTTGACGACGAGAGCCTACGCAAAGTGCCAAGGGTGGCAGACGAAGGTAGCTCCATCTTTAAGACGGGAGACATGGCGGACCTGCTCGAGAAGGAAAAGGAGCAGTGGGATGAGGAAGTTGAGGAGGAATAGGAATCCTATGTGGCTCAACCTCGCAGTTTCTAGTTTGTTATTTACGCAGACACGTTGTTTCGCGGATGGCGTTTGGGGTGTAGGATGGTGTTTGAAGGATGGATAAATGGTCAGTAGGCAGGATTAAAGAATACCAATGTTGCGTTGTTATACCTTGAAAGCTAGGGTTGTGGAAGTGAGTCTATTCAGACGTAAGCTAATGCTGACATGTGCGACCGTTGACTACTCCATACTCCATGTCACGGTACACACATCTACAACATGTGTACTATCGGATCCGGAAATAACCATCTAAGAAAGCCAAGACTCGCACGCCAAACGGCGACAACCGAAATCGATGGCCGGCGGGCGCAAATGACCAATCGGCCTTATCAAGAAGACAACCCCAAACCCTCATCCCGGCCTTATCGCAACCTGGTAAACCACGCGACAGTGGGGGGGGCCCAGGGACAACCACAGGCTCTGAGCTCAGATATTATTACCTATCAATGAACAGTATCCATGCCCGCGCCCGTTCAAGTCATGGACGAGTCGAGACAAGTCAGGCTACCTTACCTTTCTCATTACGGCTAACGGTGCCGTGCCGGGGAAAGCTTCTTTCTCTGCCCCCTCCCTCTCTC